AATCTTGCAGTCACCTGGCTCTCTCAGGGACATTGGTATTGGACGTTTTTCATACATATTAAGGGAATAATCCGAGGGAGGGGAACGGGGAACGAGATTTTGGCAGGGGAACATCGGGGTGTGGGAACAACGACCCTTCGTGGGGGACCCCGGCGCCAGTCGAGGGGGTGCCACAACCTCCGCCTGTTAGCCCCCCCTGCCTGCTGCCAAACGAGTGATCAGTGGTAGAGGCACTGGGGCTAAAATTAGCGGGTCCTCCACCGCGACACCCACGGAGTTAGAGGCAAAGCAGAAGAGCGAGTGCCTGCCTAGTAAGCCCTAACCAACTAAGTTTAGCCAACCTTCCAGTTCTGGGGACTGTTTGTTTGTTTGGCCAGGAATCCAGGCTGCCCTTGCTCTACCAGCACTTGTCACTCCTCTCGCCCCTCGTCTTCTCCCTTCTCCTCACGTCGCTGTGGCGGCCGCCCTTCCGTGCCCCCCCTCCTACTCCACCCTCTAAATCCCCTTCCTCTGCTCACAATCGAGTTCTTGCTGTCCGGAATTCTGGACCCAAATTTTATTTTTATTTGTTTTGGTGGGGATTTGCTTCGTTTGTTTATTTTGGGTGGCATTCTAGAGCGCTCTAGTTTTTGCATCATTTGAGTGGTGGAGTGAGTGGCATGGGAGGCGTTTGAGGGTTGGTCGAGGATTCCAGTTGCATTCACTAGACGTTTGGTGTTGTGTCGTGGAACTGCTTGTTACAGGCGTCGTGGGTGCTCAGAGGTGGGGAGTTGGTAGTGGGGAATCGTGTCTAAGAGTTTGAAGTTTTTATTTTTATTTTTTTGAGGAGTGGAATACATTTTTCTCTAGAATTTATTTGAGGAGTTGATTGATAGTGTGGTGGGGATCTGATAGAGTGAAGTTTTGGCAGCTCTGGAAATCTGTGTTCGAGGAGGTTGAGGTTTGGTGTGCGGTGGTGTGGGTGACTTTTTTTTTTTTTTTTTTTTTTTTTTTTTTCGTCTTCTCTCTCTCTTGGAACTGTCGCTGTAGTTGATTACTGTTTAGGTTTGTGGTGTGGGAAGAAAGTGTGGATAGTGGTGAGGAACATAGGAAGGTGTGGTGCAGTGGTGTATCATTTGAGAATAGGAGGGGAGTATTGCGGCACGGGGCTAGTTGTGGGGCTTGATGCCCTGTGTTATGCGTTTGTAGTGAGGCGGCGTAGTTGAGGTGGTGTGAGCGCCGTATTCGGGGAGCGCCGTAACTGGGCGGCATTTTCGGTGCTGGATTGGTGACCAGTGTCGACGCTCCCCTCTTTAGACTGTAATCAGAGTTTCACAGTTTAGACATTCGAGTTGTAGAAATCGAGCTGGAATTTCTGAGAACAGGTATACAACCTCGCATGCTCTTTTATCCTTGTTGATCTGTGCTGTTGCTTGAAGCGAGAAGTTTAGAACCGAAGGCGATTATTTTTCCTCAGGTGACTCTTTTTCATTTCGAGCGGTGCCTGTCAGATAATTATATTAGCATACTAATAAGGCATTCAATTCCGCAGTTGAGAATTCCATCAGTTCTTGCTTCAACAAGAGGCATCCTTACAAGTATTTTAGTTGTGCTCTGTGATCGCTTACTACGAGGGATATTTTTATTCGGCCCAATTGCGGTGTGAGCTTGTTATCTGACTTTTTCGCTCAATTTACCATACCAGGTGTGAGTTAAGATTCTGCAAAGCCCATTATCCGATGGTTTCTCAGACAGATGTGACGTCCAGGTTCAAGAAGTTCGCTGTTCAGGATACCCCCGAGGGGAGTTCGCAGGGCATGGGTCAAGGAAATACTGCATACTGTCAAACTTCTCCACTTTACGTCGACGGAAAAGATGGAGCAGCGGCCACTTTTGTCACGCTGGCTCAGGAAGCTAAGGTAGCTACAGAAGAAGTGAAGGTTCCCACCAGTAATGCAATCTTGTCCATTTGCAAATCTCTCATCGCTGGAGGTGTGGCGGGGGGTGTGTAAGTCTCGCAATCCTCAGTTGTCTTTTTGAGCGAAGGAGCGACTGGCAGCTTCGTCTGACAATATCCTTGCAAATGTACCGTTCTGTTTTTTTCACCGGGTAGACTTGATTTTGATATGTCGTAGCCTGGCGTTTGTATGCTTCTGTTCACGCATGTTTTTTTTCTTTTCTTTCAGGGCAGAATTGAGATTTAAGACATTCTAACGTGCCTCACTTCGTTTCAACCCGACTGGCTTTCATTTTGATGTCTACCCACACGGTGTTTCTGATTTCGTGGTCCGAATGCATCTTGAACAATTTTTTTTGTACACTGATAGAGTGGGTTGGATTTCGAAGTAGATATTGTGTTAAGATGGGGCTTTATTTTGACTAGGGGTCCTACTGTGGTACTTAGGGTTTTCTGTTCATTGCCCAGAATGTTAGCAATGTAGATTGACTGCATTACAAGAGTTGATTAATGATGACCCTCCGCATGTAAAGAGTTTACATCTAGTCTTTGGTGCTTTCACCTGTGTCTTCGAGTTCACGGCAGCGTACTCAACTTTTGTTTCTGTTGCTGGTCGTCCGGAAGGCTGATAAGTTCGCTTCTCATCATGTTCACCGTGATATGCTGAGTGCAGATCTCGCACTGCCGTTGCTCCACTGGAACGGATGAAGATTCTTTTACAGGTGCACTTTAATTTGTTCACGCATTTCTTTTATGTAAAATTTTTCAGCTTTCAGTCATCTTTGAATCTCCAGCACCGAGTTTCCGAAGTCCAAAAATAACGACACATCTTCCACTAGGGTATTTGGTAGTTCTCAAGCGGTTCACTCTCTTTTTCCTGAAAGATTCAGTCAATCGCGTGTAAAATAATTACGGAATTTCTCAGGTTTTCTGCTATCGATGCAGGTGCAAAATCCATTCAATCCGAAGTACAGTGGCACGATTCAGGGCTTGAAGTCTATTTGGGGGAGTGAAGGTTTGCGTGGGTTTTTCAAGGGCAATGGAACTAATTGTGCTCGAATCATTCCCAACTCCGCTGTGAAGTTTTTCGCTTATGAAGAAGCGTCCAGGTTCAAATCTTTGGCTTAGTGCTTGGGGATTCTCCATTGTTGTTAATGGATCTTAGAGAATCCGATAGTTCTATTAGTACTTTATAAGTTTTGCTCTGATTCTCATCAAATACACATCCACAATCTAATGCGACTTTCATTGTGTTGTTGGTTTGTATTCTGTATTTTGCAGATCGATTTTGTGGGCTTATCGAAAAGAGAGTGACCAACGTACTTACTCTTTATGCGAAGCTTGTTTGGCGAATTTTCATGTTTTCTGGGTATTGATATGTATATGTAGACATAGTGTATGCTTAGCCCTCGGTTCCAACATTTGTGGGTTTTTCTGTGATGGAATTTTTTCCGAGGGCTTCACAAATCTATGTGGTTGATCCTTACTGGATAAATGTTTTCTTTACAGCCGATGCTGAACTAACTCCTGTTCTCCGATTGGGAGCTGGCGCATGTGCTGGGATAATTGCAATGTCAGCCACATATCCTATGGATATGGTGCGAGGAAGGCTGACAGTGCAGGTCGGTGACACGTGCTTATTTATGTTGCCTGATTATTGTTTTGTAATATGAAACATGGGACTTGTTTGCAAGAGACGGTGCTTGTTGAAGCCAACTGTTTTTTTTCCCTCGACTTAATCAGTAGTGTGCAAGTGTTGACTTCTAGTTCGTTCTCATTTGAAATATTTACCTCTGTTGTATCGGGTTGTTGTGCAGACCCAGGATGGGCCGCTTCATTATAAAGGCATGTACCATGCTTTCCGGACAATTATCCACGAGGAGGGTGCAAGAGCTTTGTACAAAGGATGGCTTCCATCTGTTATTGGAGTGGTATGCTGTCATGATACAACTTGCCTTAAAGAGGCTGAGCTGCCTAACGAGTCTGAAGTAATGGAATGAGTTCTTTTTTTTCGTTTGTATAACGTCTCAGAAACTATCTAGCGTAAGACGAAGAATTAATGTACAAATTAAGAACCTCAACGTATTTTATACTTGACACAAGAGCTTCTAGCATCTTCACTTTGAACGAATGAAGATTCGTCAGCACTAGGTGATTTGTCAGACACTTCTATTATTCATGACCACCCGTATTTGGTATCACATGTGGCGTGGATAAGTAATAGTCGTTGGGTCTGTTTCTGGAGTTTGATGTTCACTTCGTCGCTTTGACTGGATGATGCAGGTTCCTTACGTCGGGCTTAATTTCGCTGTCTATGAATCCCTCAAGGACTGGATTCTGAAACACCCCCAGTGGCAACCAGATGATGGGGCTGATTTGGCTGTTCTTACCAAGCTAGGTTGTGGAGCCGCAGCAGGTACTGTGGGTCAGACAGTCGCTTACCCTCTGGATGTGATCCGTCGACGATTGCAAATGGTTGGCTGGAAGTCTGCCTCACCAATCGTCACAGCCGATGGGCAAGTGAAGCAGCCAATGCAGTACACAGGCATGGTAGATGCTTTTAGAAAAACAGTGAAATATGAAGGTGTTGGAGCTCTCTACAAAGGACTGGTGCCAAACTCCGTTAAGGTGCATTTATTTTCTGAAACATTCTTTCATTCGTTTTATCATTTTTGCATGTATTCAATGTTGGATGGTTTCATCAAATAACCTTTATTATTTTGGTCTTTGCAGGTTGTGCCATCAATCGCTCTGGCATTTGTGACATACGAGTTGATGAAGGATCTCATGGGTGTAGAGATGCGGATTTCAGATTAAGCCAATTTTGCGACTATGGCATGATAGATTATACTGCTTAGAGGCTAGCCCATTACATGAGGTTAGCCCATCATCGTTAGGACGTGCAGGATAGTGCCTTCAAGATGAGTTTCACTGGAGATGTATTTGTCACTGCACAGGTGTCCCACACTTTCCTTTCCGTATGTGTGCCGGCCATTAGAGTACTGTGGCGTATTTCTTCATTCAGCAGCTCTTCTGGAGTAAATTCAAAATTTTACAGCAATGAAATCAACAGCCAGATCCGTTCCATCTAACAAGGCCTTCAGTGTGACTGGGCTGGATTCATGAGCCTCATTCACGAAAACCCTCTTGTAAATGGCGTAAGATTTCATTCTGAGAGAGTTGTTTTATGTTTCAGTGACAATGTTAGCAGATAAAGTTGAGCTCTACTAAAAATCATTTTACTTCAGCGCTATTTGCAGCCACATTTGTATTCACATACAATTTAGAGTCAAATGAATAACAAGTGTCCTTGGCTGGTGTTGCAGTTGAGCACCTTTCATGAATCTTCCCTTCAACTGAATTGCAATAGCTGAATGTATGCAACTTTTATGGATGTGTTTTCTTGAAGTTATAAAAGATGATATTTTTCTGCATGGAATTTGATTCTAAGCACTGCACCTGAGCTTTGTACCTGCAAGAGATGTGGAACCAGGGCTAGTAACAGTCGAAACAAACGAGTTCCTAAATCAATGAATTGCAATATCTAAGTCAACTTTTCGAAAATTGAGAGTAACAAGTATTATGCGGCTGTGCATGAGATTGTCAAAGCGAAATCCACTACAAATGCTGTGAATCTTTGGCTGATTTTGTTGCTACAACTTTTCTTGCAACATTATAACAGGAAATAGTGAGTCACTCGGTCTGGTCTCTAACACAGTATATGAGTTATTTATATTATGGCATGCGTTGTATTAGTAATATATTATTTCAATTTAAATTTACAAATATGAATAATATTTAATGTCACAATGCAAATTTGGTGAATAAACTAACATTACTTCATTGCTAACATAGATTTTTAGTTTTCACATTCTTTGTTTTCTGAAGCAATCCTACTATTATAGAATTTCACGTTATGCCATGTGTAATTTAAATATGCCTAGCATGAGTGATTTAAGTAAAATCCTATCAAGAGAAATAATACTTGAGAGCCTCTTATTAGAAGTATAAACATGTAATATTCGTTATGACTTGCTCTCAAGAATCCTTAACTATACCCTACACACACACACATTCACACTGTTTAATTGTTTATTAATGTATGAGTTTTTTTTTTTTTTTTTTTTTTTAATTTTTTTTATATATATATATATATCAGCAACCACCACTTTTAAATGACAGATAAATTATTTCATATTTGACTATTAATATAACACAGCTTATGATCACACATCACCAAATCCAAAAGTTAAAGAAAAGCATTCTCATGGTGGCTTCATGATTTGCAAGCCTTGACTCTTCCATGGTCGGCAGACTTCGACGCGATCTAGCGATCGAGCGAGCCATGACAGAGAAAGAGTGATGATCCGGCGAAGAGGAAGTAACAAAAGGGAATGGCACGGAGAGAGTGAGGGAGATTGAGGGAGGGGAGATTCGGCGAAGGCTGTGAGACGGAGGAATGTTGCCTCCGCGAGCACGCCATCATGCAGGGTTGGCTGCTTTGCCTCCCCTCGATCCACCAATCCTGCAATCATCCCTTAGCTGGGCTTCTGATCCTCGCAATTTGAGGTGGGTCCATGAGATATCACGCCTTCTCCTCTGGAATCTGCTGCAAGCGCTCGTCCGATCACCTCACGTTGGATCCTGCGTCGCCGCACAATGGCGCCCAGGTGCAGGAATCAAGGGAAGAGCACGAACCTCTCCTCTTGACTGGCTCTCTCTCTCTCTCTCTCTCTCTCTCTCTCGCTTTCTCGTTCTCTCGCACCCCCTCCCTTCGCCGATTTTTTCTTCGCTGCATTTGGTGCACAAATTCTACAGATACAGGTGCTTGGACTAGCTTGTGTTTGTACTTGTTGCGGGGGATTAGCAGGCGAGGTCTGACTTTGTGGATGGATTGACCTTGTTGTTGCTGTAGAACTAGTTGGGGAGTCAGGGATTCCAACGCGCATTTTGTCTCTTGGATCGCCCTGAAGTGGTTGCATGTTTTGAAGCTTCACGGCCGTTCTCCGCGCGTGATTACTTGCAGTTAGTGTGCTTTGCTTTTCACCTTGGAACAAATTTGGGGTTGCATGTACTTTCTCGTACGAATTTCTAGTTGTGATCGTTGCAACTATTTCGTTTGACGAGGTGTTTGTTTATCTTCTTTTATTTTGTTTTTTTTGTATAATATTTTGAATTTTGTCTCTTCCATGGTGGCATTGCCCTTGGCTTTACCTGGTGCGTGACTTTGAGATCTGATTTCACGTACATGTTCGCTTGAATTGGTTGATCCTGTAGTCTGCTCTGTAGTTTACTTATGTTTGTATAATTTGTGTATTCCCTTATGCGATAGTGTGTTCTTTTGTACCAAGTCAATGCTTGGGAATTGTTTGTCTGGCTGCATGTTGTGTTAGTGTCATGGGGTGAGCTAAACTCGACTAATTTGGCAAACCATGAAAGAATTTGCGACGCTCGTGTGCTCGTGCAGGCATGGTTTAGCACAGGTTGCATCAACATTCTCCCAGTCTTCGTCACCTCCCTCTTGGCAGGCGCAGCTGTGAGTTTTGTGAGGGGATTAAGTTGGAGACGCGGAGATGGCAGTACCTGCCGCGGCCATGAGCTTGTTGCATAACCATACCTCGGCGGGGTTTCGTCAGACCAAGCTTGGACCCTGCACCTTTGGATCCGCACGGAATTCACTCTTGAAGACCACAATTTCTCGTGGTGCAATGGTCAGTCGCTGCGCACCATCGCCCGCCCCCGTGAAATCAACGAGTTCAAGATTTTCCATGAGGCGGAACTCGAGAATGTCCTCCAACAGTGAAAGCATGGCGGAGAATTTCAGTGAAGATGACGAAGAGTACGCTGATTCCTCGATTGTGGAAGCTTTGGAAGTCAAGAGCGGCTTTGATGGATTCACCATCAAAATGCGGGATGGCAATGTGCTCAAGTGTGTGCACAACAGGTCAACAGAGGGAGGCTATCTTCCCGTGTATGCTCCACAACCGGCGATCGTTCTACGATTAAACGATGGCTCCAACCTTTTACTCCCAATTATTGTACTTGAACTGCCAAGTATTATGCTTCTGGAAGCGGTAAGAAATGTTAACATCTCGCGCCCGACAGTGTACCAAGTAATGAGCGAGATGCTAGAGGTGTCGGGATACAAAGCGAAGGTTGTTCGAGTGACTAAGCGAGTCAACGACGCTTACTTTGCAAGAATTTATCTCGTGAAGGATGGAGATGACGCCGCCGCTCCTGTGAGCCTCGATGTCCGCCCCTCGGACGCCATCAACCTTGCCGTGCGCTGCAAAATACCTATTCAGGTATGCATTAAACAACACCATGGAAGTATCTTAGTCATTCCGATTTCTAAAGTTTGAGATTCAATTAGTTTTCGATGCATTACCATCAGCACACGATGTGTTGTTTACCTTCAGGTGAACAAGCAGCTAGCTGTAGGGGACGGCGTTCGCATTGTCAGCGAGCCCGAGAAGCTACCTTCTAGCATCGCCACCAAGAGTGCGCAATTTATCATCGACATGGACAAGGCACTTCCGGGAGACTGTGAAGATGCTAAAGAGTTCATTATCATTCGGGACATGTATATTGCGGCTGTGGAGGAGAGATTCATCGATGCGGCTAAGCTGCGCGATGAGCTCCAGCAGTTCAGGACACACAACCGTAAGGACTCACAAAAGCAAACGTGATCGACGGAGCTTATCCAATCGGTTGGGATTATCTGGTAAACGTCCAAGTGATGAAGCCTGAATCAAGGCTTTCAGTTTTCGATTGACAGCGTCTCTCTGTGTGTGTATGTATGTGTATATATATATATATGAAACCACTAGAGAATATGTTCTATGGAGAATCAAACCCTAGCTCTTCGGTGTGGCGCTCGCACAATCAACATTTTATCATGTACAAAGCAGAGAGAGGATCTTCACTAACGGTGCAGAAGAAGGATCTCAAGCTCAAACAGGGATAAACATGGTGTACAGTACAGCCATGCTTTTTCAGTGCTGCATCGTCTCCTGCATTTTCAAGTATCGAATTCATCATCCTGCTCAAACCATCTGCTGATACTAAGAGCTGTTTTTGATTGCAGTTTACTTCAGATGTACATACATTCCAGAGAGTAGACCCACTCATATTATAAGACCTCATAATACTGAGTACTGGGGCAAAGTGAAGGAAATAGACTGCTTTTCACATTGTGGTTATCTGCAGTAAGTACTTGCAGCTTGTGGGTACTTGTGTAGGTTCTCTTTGATGGGTAGAGGATTAACTGGTCTGTAGCAAGAGTGGGTCTGGCTTTTAATACTTTGATGTGTGTACTAATTTGCCGACAATTCACACAGAACTCCAGGAGAGGTCTGTTGTTCGTTGAAGTTTCGAAAAATAATGAGGCTCTTGTCTCGACAAATAGTACTAATCTTTATTGCATTCGTATACATGTTAGCAGAGGAAACAATACAATGTTACTGAATAAACTACAATTTTTGTGCTGGATGTAATAGTTGTTCCATTGCAGTTCTAACAATTATAAGCATTTTCCTGAAGATCCAATTCATGGTACAAGTAATCAACTCAACTCTTTGAGATGCATACTTTAATTGCAATACTATTGGAAATGAATCAGGAAGTTGTAATATTGATTTTAACACCCATAGTTCAAAGTAATAGTCAACCTACCGTGTGATTTGCATACATTTTTTTTCACCCTCTTTTTTTGCCATATGATATCAATTTGATTTAAAAATTTTAGTATAAGAAAGGGTAGCAATAGTTGAAGAAGTTCAAATAAAAATAATGGAAAAGACCAAATCTCTTCTAAAATCCACCTCTTTAAGATGAGTCCAACAAAATTTTAGAAAAATTATGCATTCTTTTTCATCTTTTCCTCTTAGAGCCTTTGATTTAATTTCTTAAAGTATGATTCCAACTCAAAAAAGTTTCTTAGTTTTAGCCAATCAAAGTGTTTAAAAATTGTGGTCTTTTCACCTTGTTCCTTAAGAATTAAATGTTCTTAAAAATATAAATTCTAAAATTAAATTGACATGCTAACTCTTTATTTATCTTCTATATCACTCTTTTCATTCAACAACTTTTGATTTATTTTATTTATTAATATTTTTTTTCTTCTAATATATTTTTCATTTTGAGCTTCAATTACCATAGAAATGAATTACACTTTATTCTATTTACATATATATATTTATATCAAAAAAGTTGTTAAAGCCACATTCCAATTTTATTAAAGCTACATCTTTCCTTGCCATCTCATGAATCATTCTATCCATCTCTCATCTTCGGCTCATGATTCTAATTCCATGACCCCTTCCATCTCTATTCCTTGTTTCTTGTTTCTAATGCCCATCCCTATTCTTTGTCCACCATCTTCTATAGAAATACTCATTTGGTTCCATAAGCCAATATCTCGTTGCATGCCATTCCATTGCATTGTTTTGTGGCTTACTAAATCTATATAAGAATAGTATTATTAGAGATAGTCTTCTATATAATGAGTACTATTATGAAAGGTCAAATGTAATAGGATATAAATAAGATATTTGTATTATTGACACATAGAGATAGATAGTTGGAACTATGTTTGAGAAGTTATGGAAGTTTCTAGAATTGGGGCTAGGTTAGTAGACCACATAGGATCCACTATGGAACATTCTCGAAAGAGTTTAGGGTGGTTATCTAGGTGAGGTCTACCATAGAACCTTCTAAAAGAAATTTAAGGTAGTTATTTAAGTAGGGTCCATCACCTAAGAAAATTTTAAAAAGTCCATAATAATAGAAAAAACTAAAAATAGAACTAGCTAGGGCCTTTTGGACATTTGATCAGGTATGACTTCAAACCTTCTCCCTTAGTAAAGTTTGGTTTTACATCTTCATGTTCAATTTTGTTTTATTCTATTTCTATTTGCATAGCTTTGTCTTTTGTGTCCTATTCTATTTTTTTCTATTTAATTTTGTTCTGATCTATTTTGTCCTACTTTGTAATGAGGTTTTATGTTGTTGTGGATTAAAAGAGACTTAGATTCTCAAAATAGACTAGTCATGTTTCATTAGTATCAAAGCAAGTATTAGCCTAGAACATACTCTGGGACTTCAAAACAAAAAGATGTATGTCAATGGTTCTTCAATATGCAACAATACCTCCAAGTATCTGGAACAAGTATCATTGTAGGAATTATGCATATAGCCAACTATTTGAAAGATGCGGGAGCAATTTGGTAGTGACATCAAGTTTAAAGCTATGGAATTCAAGATAGATTTTGTAATTTGGAGAAATTTAAATCAAGTTTAGGAATCAATTTTGGCCTATTAATGCGAAGAAGATAGCATGCGATTAATTGAAAAATCTTACACAATCTATATTAATTCAAGATCATGTTTCTTGATTCAAGTCCCTATGTCCCCAAATTGACAATATTTAGGACGCGGAGATAATGGATTGATTTCTATGAGGTTTGAAACCTAGGATCCATTAAGAGGTGGAATTAAAAGATCTACAAACATCTAAAGAGGTAATTTGGATTATAGAGAGGGTCAATGCTATAGATTTCACAAATCGTGGAGTATAACCTATAGCAAAAAGTCCTATCCCGCTATCTAATATTATAGTATAACAACTAATGCCAATAGAGATTGATGCCCTATAAGGATCATTGATACCACAAAGACAAAAAATATTGGTGTAAAGAGAATTATGTTTTTATTATCAAGAGCCAGGCTATCAGATTGGAAGTTGTTCAAAACGTTAAAATTCAAGCATCAACAAAACAAGGAGGATTCATAGTCTTAAGACTTAAGATTCAAAGATTCAAGGTAACAAAGCTAAGATATGGTATTATCCTTGGTATTCCATGGCTAGAGATGGAAAATAAACAAGTTGATTGGATAGCAAGGAAAATCTTTTTCAAAGTTAGTAGACGCAAGGTGATTCTTTCTACCTCTCTATCAAATGAAGAAGAAAAAAAAAACTACAACTAAAGACTCACTTGTAGGGATGACCTTTATAAAGAAAAAAATACAACATAAGCAATCAGTGTATATGGTGGTTCCAAATCTTACATTAGTGGTAGACAAGATAGTCAAAAGGGTAGAACATGTAGAGCAACTCATATGAAAATATTGGGATGTCATTCCAACCGACCTACCTAATAGCATGCCTCTTGATCAAGGTACCTCCTTTCAAATAGAATTATTGCTTAGAACCAAAGTAGCAAGTCAACCAATCTATTGGCTAGTACCAAATGAATTTGAAGAGCTGCAAAAAATATTGGACAAACTCTTGGAGAAAGGCTTGATTTGAGAAAATATATCATCATAGGAAGCACTTATACTCTTTGTACCTAAAAAAGATGGTGGACTTTGGCTTTGCATCGACTATCGAGGCATCAATAAGCAAATTATTAAAAATGAATATCCACTTCCACGTATGGATGATCTTTTTGATCAACTTCAAGGTGCAACCATTTTTAGTAAATTAGATCTTCGGAGTGGATATTGGGAGATACCTATTGCAAGAAAGGATATTAAAAAGACAGTATTTTGTATGCACTATGGATATTTTCAATGGCTTGTTTTACCTTTTGGCATCACTAATGCTCTAGTCTCTTTTATGGGTCTCATGAACAAATTGTTTAAAGACTTTTTGGACAAGTATGTAGTTGTCTTCATTGATGATATCTTCATATATAGTAAAACCTTTGAAGAGCATGAGCAACACCTATAAGAAGTGTTGTGCTAATTACAAGATAGTTTTTTTTATTCAAACAATCAATATGTAAACTTTGGAAGTAAAAAGTTACTTTTTTTAGACACATAGTGTCCTCTGAAGGCATGCACATGGATTAAATTAAGGTGAAAGTAGTGGAGGATTGGCCAACTTCCAAGGATGCTTCTAAAGTTTGTTTATTTTTAGGCCTTGGTGGATATTATTGTCATTTTGTTTGGTGATTTGCACACATTGTTATATCATTGACAAACCTATTGGAGAAAGGTACCCAATTTGAATGAAAATTGGAGTAATAATACACCTTTGATAAGTTAAAGGAAGTACTCATTATTGCTCCAATATTACAATTGTATGATTCCAACCTTCATTGTATACTTGACATTGATGCTTCCGACTTTGCTATTGGAGTGGTCCTTCAACAAGAATTTGGTAGAGGCCTTCAACCTATAATATATGAATCACATAAGCTTAGAAGGACAAGGCACAATTACTTTGCACATAATCAAGAACAATTAGGAATTGTACATCCCACAAAGGTATAGCGATACTATCTATTAAAGAAGCCAATGGTTTTTTGGATTGACCATCGATCTTTGTTATACAATTTGCATCTAAAAAATATGAAATCACAATAATATTGTTGAAAAGAACAATTATAGTTTTTTGATATCCAGCTTGAGTACAAGCAAGGGCGATAACATACTTTGCCAAACAATTTATTACAGAGACCAAATTTGAAGGCCAAATCAAAATACAAGCCAAAAATTGCTACCATTAGTAGTTTCATTTCAAACCTAACAAAAGAGGTAAAATAGAAAGAAGCTACACATTAGGATGTTTATTTCAAGATGGTTAGCAATCGATTGAAGGTGGACGATATATAGTATCAAGATTATAATCTTAGTAATGGCTTGCTTTATTTCAAGAAGCAAATTTATATACTTAACAATGCTATACTTCGGATGCACATACTTCAAGAGAGACATGACATCCCAATATCTAGACATCTAAGGCGAGAAAAGATTCTAAAAAAAATCTTATAGATATGATTTTGGACAAATTTGAATCTTGATGTTTGAGCTTTTGTGCACTTCTATAAATCATGTCAATGTAATAAAGCATGCAACGCAACATCTCTTCAATTATTGTAGCTAATTCTACTACCTATGGCATGTTGAGAGCATGTGATTATAAATCTCATTATAAATTTGTCATAAACACCTCATAATTATACTACAGTTGTCGTCTTTGTGGATCGATTCTTGAAACAACTTCACTTGATCATAGAGTGCTTGGATATTGATGTTTTAGCACTTACACGGGTCTTCTTTGATATTGTCTTTTGTCACCTTGTGCCATCATTTCAAATCGGGATCCATGCTTTACAAGAAGTTTTTAGTAAAATTTATTGAAGCTATTAGATACTTGACTTGCTATGTCTACAGCCTTTTATGTCCAAATACGTAGACAAATAGAGTGTATAAATCACTCCTTAGAAGATATGCTATGGACATTTGTAGTAGTTCATCATAATGATTTGGATGAATACTTGACATCTTTGGAGTTTACTTATAATAATAGTATTTAAGTAAGTATCAGTTATTTACTATTTTTTCTTAACACTGATCAACATCTGATTATGCCAAAAACTCTCTATCGTTCCATCGACACCAACAACCTGATAATAGAGGAGATAATACAATGGCTTATGATGGCCTTACATGAGGGAGTGCATGGCTTTTTTATCACTTAGAATCGATAGAAGCAATATGTAGAGAACCATTGGCAATCCAAGATCTTTCAAAAAGGTGATCATGTGTTATTCTCCAATGCCAACTTGCTACTTGCTACATCAACCCAAATTCGTAAAGTAGCACCTCATTGGCTCGGATCTTTCCATATTTCTATAGTGATTTTTAATGTCACATATTGCCTCAAGCTTCCACCACATATTTGGATCCATCTAATTTTCTATGTTTCACAATTGAAGGAATTTCATACCAAGCCAAAGCGCTTTCTAGATCAACACCAACCACTACTACTATAAGTTGTAGTTGATGACCAACAAAAATATGAAGTAGACATCATTTTGGAACATTGCTATCTTTGTCGTGGCAATGGATGTCTACAACTTCAATATAAAGTTTTTTAGAAAGGTTATCTCATCCATGATGCAATGTGAAAACCTATACAAAACCTCACCCATTGCTAAGAGACAATTTGTAGATACTATTGGAAGCAAAACAAAGACGTTCTATATTGATAGAGGAGGATTAATTGTAACAAGGTATAAATAAGATATTTGATTTGTTGAAATATATGGATAGATAGTTGGAATCATGTTTGAGAAGTTATAGAAGTTTCTAGAATTGGGGCTAAATTAGTGGATCAAATAGGATCCATTATAGAATATTTTAGAAAGAATTTAGGATGGTTATCTAAATGAGGCCTAACATGGAACCTTCTAAAAATGGCTTAAGGTAATTATCTAGGTAAGGTCTATCATCTAAAAATATTCTAGAAAGTCTAGGGAGGTAGAAAAAAATATAAATAAAACTAATAAGGGTCTTTTGGGCATCTGGTCAAGTATAGCTTTGGACCTTCTTTCTCAGTAAAGTTAGGTTTTCCATCTTCCTGTTCAGTTCTATTTTTTTCTATTTTTGTTTTTACAATTTTGTCTTTTGTATCTTATTCTATTCTCTCTGTTCTATTTTGTCCTACTTTGCGATGAGGTTTTATGATGCTGTGGTTTAGAAGAGTCTTAGATTCTCAAGATAAACTCATCATATTTCATCAAAACACTACTCAAAGTAGATGTATAAAAGAACCTTTAACCAAGTTATATTGCATATTGAAATGAATATTTGAATTGAATTTGTTTAGATCTTGCGTATGTCTTCTTCTAAATGCAATTCTTCTCTTGTACATTACATTAATAAGACTATATATTTATATTTTTTGCTAAGCAACTCAAAATATGGTGACCTCATGCCTAAATTACCATAGTTCAAGTATCTTATTTGGTTATTTTTAACTCAAGGTTGAAAAATGGATATTTTGAAAAAATCATTTGTAGGCATGAAATAAATATTTGTTATTGGTGATATATTTGTAAGTTGAGAAGTGACTTTAAACTATCGTAGATTAGCCAAATTTGATTTTTTTTTTTCTATAAGTTATTGTATTTTGATTGTACATATCATGAATCTCTAGCCTTTGCATTATTTGCATGAAATAAAGATATTGACACAAATAATGATGATATTAGGATGTTTGATCTAAATGCATTGGAAGTTGCTTGCATATGACACCTATCTAGTTGACATATCCAAAAACAAGATTCATAGTATTTTCATGGTTATTGGAAGCATTGCCATTCATATCTTTGGACATTTAGCACATTGCAATTAATAAATGCAAGATTTAATGGCCAATGCCATGTAAACATATGGAAAGCAGCTATTAAGAAGTAAAAAAAAAAAAAAAAAAAAAAAAAAAACTTTCTTAAATTGCCTATATTAAAGCTGTTGTAAGTAGATCAATAAGAGATTCTTTTAGAAGTACAAAACAGTGGAGAAAAATTGTTCGGATCTAATGGTTATTTTTTGGATTGTTCTCTTTAAACACTAGCTATGGTTTTAACTTTCTTTTTAGATTTTGAGGTTGCATCACTTATCATTCTACACTTCATCCTTATCTTATTGGAGGCAATTAAGAGATATTTCTAATATGATCTCAAGAAAATATAAATTGTATGTTTTAAGGTCTTGCCATCTAAGTATATTAAATAAAATAAAAAAAAACAAGTATCAACTGCAATTATTAAGAATCACCATGCTTTTTGAAAATTCACAAATGAATACATTATCAACTTGGACTTATATTCCTTCCACAAAAAGATCTAAGTGAAAAATATCTTACAATATAACCAAATATTTTTCCTCTAAGTGGATTATAAACCTTCTTTGTAATAACAACTATAACTAATTTTTTCAAATTAGTACCTACTTAAATCATCTAAATCAAACAATTGTTGGAAACAAGGATGGAGAAATTTGAGATAGAAGAAAAGGGCTAAGAATAATGAATAAAAGATGGAGGATTAGAGGCATAGAACAAAAATATGGGATTTGGGATTAGGAACATAGAATTGGAATGAAGGGGGTTGAGAAAAGGGACAAAGATAGTAGGTAGATAGTAAATAGACTGAATTATTGATGAGATGGTAAGGAGAGGTTTGGCTTTAACAACTTTCTATATATATATATATAGAAGCATATATTATTATTTTAAAACTTGTTTCTGGGGATTTCTTGGTATATCAACGTTTCGGAGATAGGCTGGAAGCTTCTGGTGGAGTCGTGTGGCTGCTTTGACTTCGAAAAACTCCAGCTATATAGTTCAATTGCAATTGGCTTTTGATTCGACCCAGAGGAGTATATGCATTTGATCCAGTGAAATCTAAATCTCGATACGAGGTGGACCTCGGTGCTTGCTGAATGCGAAGGAGAGCAAGGTCCCCATAATTGAATTAATCTTTGAATTGTGCATCAAAGAAACTGCCCGAGCTGTACCTTGTAGTATTTCAAGCCCGATGATGATACAGACAACGTTAAAATGTGAAGGTGTTTATGGTTTAGCCAGATTAGCATTTCGTGAAACAGGCCACAGGATTTGGAGGTGGTGGAACATAAGATCTCTTGAAGCTCATGTTGGGTCTGTATCAGGGGGAATATACAACTCACGTATATCAATTGGTATTCTGAAGCGAGAGTTGAATAGAAGTGGCTAAAATGGATCTCCAGGATGGATTTGTCTACTCTGTCAAAATGAGTTGACAATCATCTTGAGATGTGTACTGTGTTTAATCTCAGTGTCAAGAATATGAATGGCATGTGTTCCACCGTTTAACTGATTTTGGATCCAGTTGCAAGTAACTTGGATGAATTATCTATTACAACAATGCAGTGATGCCTCGGCAACTCAGTTCAATTCTTCCTGTGCCCATGATTTCGATGGTGTAGAAGGTTTTCTATGCAATGAAAACACTATTCTTAACTGATTGAACAAACTATCGGAGGTATTGATTCATGGCGTACTAGTTGCAGGTGATGCTACTCACCTTACTCTTAACATGGGGCAAGACAAATGTTAAGGTTTGAAAGATAAGGACCTCGCAACACCGAAGTAGGTTGGTGCGCTAAGGAGCACTCCCGCTCTGAAACTTTGGACGGCGATGTGTCAGAACATGAAAGAAAAATACCAAGCCTTTTTGGAGTTCCAACGCGAGCCGCATGCGAGGACAATGTTCATCTTGTCTAGTGCATACACAATAGGGTCTAGTATACGATCCGGAAGCACAATTCTAAACCTCTTCTAAGGTAGAACTATGATTCCCCAAGACCATAACGAGATCAAGTGCTTGGCTTGCAAGATGTACCCTACCGAGAAATTACAATGGCAATTTTTAGCTTCTATTGCAGCATGAGAGAATCGCCATGTATCTTTGTCCAAAACTTCTTAACTAGGCAAGGTATAAAACTTGAAAGAACATGGCGTCTCTTGATGAAACAAATTTCAAAAACAATTACTGACCGATTCAACATCACGATTTTAGTCCATTAAACCTTGTGAGAAGATTGAAAAACTTGCAATCTTCTAAACTAAGATAATAGAGTCTACGACCCATTCTTCTCAGCATGTGATGCAAACGCAGCAGACATAACACGAGGCTTATCCAAGTTGATTTCACAAATTTGTGACAGCGAAGCTGCAAGTTCCACCTGATCGCAACTCACGCCGTCTCGTACAACCACCCGCCATTTCAAGTTGCCAAAATCTCCGACAGTAGTAAAAACCACAGCGCTTTTCCAAGTAAAGTGCCTCAAAATGGCAGCATTGAACACATCCTTTACATCTGGATACGATGGCGTATAACTCACACAACAGCGATCCCAGTACTCTCGGGCAGTGTCTCAGGCAGAGAATTGGTTCATTGTGCACAAAAGACGGGCTGCTCTATGCACTCATGGAAGATGATGATGGAGTGGGGTGGAGTGACATTGGACTAAAGTTTGGGGATGTGGCTATAACAAGTACTTATATATATATATATATATATATAATGTTTTTTTACAACAATATATACAAAAGTGTAATTTGGGGTGAGAAGAATCAAGGGATTTGGATCCCAAAACTATGACTGGTCAATGAATGAAAACCATGTCCTTACAATAAAAGTTTTTTCTGACACATTGTGTGAGGATTGAGCTGACAAAGGGTTGAGGCTCAACGAAAAATTAAAGGCCGCGGGTGGGGTTACCCACGCCTGTATGTGAGCACATAAATCCATGGGAGACCTATATCCGCAGGGGTCCTATAACCAAAATCTCAGACTATTTTCGAAACTAGTGGCCTCCCATCTGAGTTTTGTCGCAAGTGCGTCCCCTTCAATTCCGTAGCGGATGCCCTGAATCCTCAATGTTGCTGAAGTGAAACGATTTGAAACCCTAACGTGATTGCAACTGTTTCTCCATCGTCGTTGTTGCTGCTACTGCCAACTCAGTTGCTATTATCCGATTTTTTGTTGTTGTTGTTATTGTTATTGTACCGCGAGGGCGTTGATAGCACACGTTTTGTCAGGGTGAAGAATTGGCTGTGGCCAGGTGAAGTGCAGCTTCGAAGATGAGTTCGGGGCCAGGAGGGACGGGCCACTCCCTGGCCTTTCGCGTCATGCGGCTATGTCGCCCGGCATTGCAAGTAGATCTGGGACTTAGGTTCGACCCTATGGATCTGGTCCAAGGAGAAGATTTACATGACAGCGAGGAGTTGCAAGCGAGTATTGAATCCCGGGATAAGGAAGGGCCTTATTGGAGAAGAAGTGAATTGGAAAAACCGATCGATGCTTTAGGGCTTCCTGGACTCTTAGTGCTCCCACAGACCTTCGGGTAGGAGTATGTGCTGATTCGTAGTTTTTGATTTAATCCTTGCTAGGCACGAGAATCATGAATTCAAGTTCAATTCTAGCGTGATTCAAGAAGGTTTGATATGTATGTTTTGCTTTTTGTTTTGTTTTGTTTGTTTGTATTTTTTTTTTTTTTTTTTTTTTTTTTTTTTTGCGTTTCTGCCTTTTTAAAGTAGCTCTTACTGTTGTTGACAATATAATGTGTTGTGTTGGTCGGGAGCAGCTCCATCTACTTGGGCGAGTCTTTTTGCAGCTACATTAGCGTGGGCAACCACTCAAACCACGACGTTCGAGATGTTGGAATCAAGGCAAGTTTCCTTCCGGGTTCTTACATCGCTTGGACGGATAATGGTGTTAGCCGATGCAAATATGGTCAACTTTGTGGGGTACACACCAGGTGATACAATCATTCAGAGTAACTTGCATTGATTTTGCAGGCGGAGTTGCAAACTGAGAGGCAGCGTGTAACCTTGTATGATAATACGAAGGCGCCCATGGATTTTATTTGCGCGGGGGGCCGTCATGACTTCATTATTGAGCATGATATCAAAGAGCTCGGACCTCATACGTATATTCCTTTACTAAACTATTGCTCGTGATCGTGTTAAATCTTGTGCTGAAATCATCGTTAATTTCATTCTTTCTTATAGCTTTTATTACTAAGTGGTTCTTTCATCATGCTCATGATCTTCACCAGCTCAAGTTTCTTTTTGTTGTGGAAATTAGGTCTCGTGTGACCTTTGAGGCCACGCAGAGTAGGTTGGATTTAGTATTCATCTCACTCCTTTCTTACCGGTGACTATGAGATAACTGCTACTGTAGGGCCAAACCAAATTAAGGAAATGTAATCATCGTTGTTGATGCAGGTTGGTTTGCATGGCGGTTTACACAGACGCTGATGCAGAACGAAAGTACCTGCCACAATATTTTAAGTTTATGGCATCAAATCCTCTCTCAGTCCGGACGAAGGTTCTTGTTTCTTGTTCTCTTCCTGCTGTCTATTTTTTCCGACTAGTATTGGGGAGAGAAAACTACACTATTTTTATATTTGTGGTATTGCTTATTTTTTGCTGTTGGTACGCTGACACCTCATGACAAGGTTAGGATGCTGCAATACTTTATGTTCGGTTGATCACAAAACTTGCAAATTAAGGCTTGACTTCACATTTCGTATTTGTGTTTCCAGGTGCGCATAGTGAAGGTAAGAAACATACACCTTACTCATTAGTAGGTTATGTTGTATTAATTTTTTGATTTGGAATACTTTGGGGTTGTAGTAAGAAATTACTCGACATAATATCTTTGGCACGCAGATTCTTGGGATTTCACCATATTTGTCATGAAGTGATTAACCCAAAGGTGATAGCGATTAATTTCCAGAACTATTTTCTACAGGATACTACATATCTGGAAGCTTGCATAGAGAATAGCACAAAATCACTTCTTTTCTTGGACCACGTGCGCTTCGATCCACAGCCTCCTATGACTGTGTCTGTTTTGGAAGTGGAGAGCAATGAAAATGATGAATCTGAAGGTCCATTAAGGTGCTCTTCTTGCCCACTTTTTACGTTTAAATTAGTTTTGTATTCATCGGATACCTTCTTCTATATGTGTCAATATGTGAGTGAAATCTTTTTTACTCTGGTGTTTAAGATGAAAAGAGCCAATATTCGTACGTGTGGGTTAATTTTTCAGTGGCCTCTTGAAACAAATTAAAGTCATAAAAGCAAATGGTGGTACCCGCCATTTTCTTTACCAGTTCCATAAACCAGCAGGAGTACCTGTGTCAACTAAGGCAGATGGCAGTAACACTCTTGGGAAGTTGGAAATCATGTGGCGGACTACTCTTGGAGAACCTGGTCGATTGCAAACACAACAAATTTTGGGCAATGTGAGTGAAACTACCTTTTACTGGTTACGTTCCACTTCTTGAAGATGTTTTTAGTGCTTTATGACCTCGTTAGCCGTAATCATTATTGCACCTGCCTTACCTTCTTGGTGCGGCCATATATTACCACCAACTGACATCTGTTACAATTCAGCCCTACAAGATTCATTTCAGCTAGTTGATAATCGTCTTGTTTTGCTATGACTTGCAGCCATCACCTCGAAAGGAAGTGAGTCTTCGTATTGTGGAGATTCCCTCTCGCATCCTTCTGGAGAGACCCTTTCTGGTATTAACTGCCATCAAACTATGATTCCGGGAAGGTCTTAATTTGTAGTTGATAAGCTTTGAACCAAATCTGTAGTAATAAGTTGATTGTCGCATGTACTTTTGAGATTCTCGTTTTGTTACTGAATTCTGTGTTAAATGTGCTTACTGTGTATTGTTTCTTTTTACAGGTCCGAATGAGTGTAAGCAACCACACTGACAGGACTGTTGGCCCTCTTCAGATTTCAATGTCTCAAGATGATGCTCAGGGTGTGCCCAGAGCAATTGTTGTGAATGGCCTTTGGAGCATGGTGAGTCTCTATTTGGAAATAATCTTACTGTTAACATGTGCTCAGTTTATAGGACAAAAGTGATTGTTTGTTTCAGTGCCATATTGGTACCATAAAGACTCTCTGAGTTGTTATTTCATTCTTTCTAACGCACGATGTGATCATTGTTTCAGACTGTGCCGCAATTAGATCCATTGGCTTCCACGGATGTTAATCTGGTGCTCCCTCTCTCCCCTCCCTTCCTCCCTCTCTCTCTCTGTCTTCCTCTCTTCACGTTGCCTCGACGTTTTAGACCTTTCTAGTTTGATGTATTAATGCATACATGTCAGCATTTGAAATTCTCAATAAGTACTCTAGTTGTGATGAGAGAGCAGGGTAGCTGTTACATGGGGATGGTAATTGTCACCTTCACTGTTAATTGTATTTTCTGGTTGATCTGGGGCAGAGTTTGGTTGCTACCGCGGTTGGTGTCCAGAAGATCACCGGCGTAGGGTTGACTGATCGGCGAGATGGCAAGCCCTATGATGCTTTGACAGCTACTGAGGTACAATCTTGTTATTAATACCTGTATTGGAGCTTTTAGAGTCGAAACTTGCAGCTGATAAGATCTATCTATTTTTCTATGAAGCTGAACAGGAGCTCAATCAGATCCTAAACTATTGTTGTACTCAGTAACCTGTTTTATATGAAAATTGAAAGAGGCTTGTTGAGCGATTAGCATCGTCGATGTTAAGTACGAGTATTTCTTATGATTTGTTCTGGATTCTCTCGCAGGTGTTTGTGGAGTCCGAGTGAATTGCAAAAATAGTAAGAATTAGAGGAATAAAAAAATCATCAGCATAGTATGTTACCAACACTGAATCATCGAAGAGAGGCATTTTCCTACAGGATTCCTGGAATTGTCTTGAAGCATGTAATTCCCTGCTAGGAATATTTATTCCTACATTTCAAAATCTGAACCACTTCGAACAGGTGCACCTACTTCACAAAGTGAACATATTTGTCCTTGTTCTTTTGCTATAGCGTGGTGTTATATATCTTCCAACCTTTGTGGTCTAGTAATGTGCTTGCAAATTTCATCCTAGACTGCAATTTTTGACAGGAGTTGTCTATCTGGAAGTCCTGAAACAAATTGCTTTATTGTTGTATTTTATGACAGGTCGGATCTAAGCCCACAATATCTAATGCACATCGGGGTTCAGAATCATCGAAGGAGTAGTAGATAAGCCTGATTGGGACTTTTCAGCTGCTCTCTTTGTTGGGTATAATCAATTGTAAACAATCTTTTCACAAGATCTACAATGTAGACGCGTATTGATGGGTGAATTCTTCAAGTGCTTCTTAAATGAAGCATACACAGTCTGCTATATTTAGTAGACGTACGCATGGCTATGACTTCTCTGCTTTATTATCTTTCGAGTTTATCACACCAGTTATGTGTGTTCATGGTATGGTGTTAACATTCAACACCATGAGTTAAGACTGCCAAAACGAGATTCACAGTGGCAGCTGCTACTTCAATGCGTTGAATTTCTATTCTCATGAATGCAGTTATTTTATCACATGCCTGCATTGCCAACCTGCTCGGATATAACCTCCACTCAATCTGCACAGGATCGATCTCGACAAGTGCGCCCATCATCCAGTCTCCTATTATTCCGACGCAGAGTATAGGCTACTGAGTAGTAATCCGGAACGGTGCGGTCTGCGGACGGATCAGCCTGGATATAGATCGGTCTCATGGATAACAAGGTGGGCGTCTCATGTTTATCGAAATTTAGTTAATAAACTCAGTAAGCTCCAGCAACCAAATTTGGACAAGCAACCTTGTGTGTAGCTCCCCAGACCTCCGCTTTTTGCCTGTTGATCATTCCATCCAGGCCCTACTTCCTAGCTTCGTTTTTATCAACACTGGAGTAGCATGGCGGGAACGCATTTTGCCTTTCGACGCGTAGACTGCATGGAATCTGCCGGTTTCTATTGTGGCGTCTCCACGTCTGTGCCATCCTCACGTCGGCTCTGGCAAAGCATGGCAAGGTGGTCCCCTCCGTCGCATACTCGATTCACGTATCTATCTCTGTGCCCATCTCTCTCAAGAATCTTGACTTTCCCCTGCACCGTTTGTGTTCGTAAACGTCCAACATATCTATCAAAACGCTTCTTTTCCTACCAGCAAGGGCATACCGTCGAGAGCGAGAGAGCGAGAGAGAGGGAGGGAGAGAGACGTTAAGGTAGCTCTGCAACATGGACAATGCTAAGACAAGAGCCAATGAATTATACTACAGGGCGCAAGAGAATGCGCCACTTAATCAGCGCCAGGCGCTGGGATTGGTGACCATCCTCGTTGCGTTGGGCACTATCACCTTCATTGCAGGCCTTACTCTGACTGGCACCACTCTTGGCTTCCTCTTCGCATCGCCCCTGCTAATTATTTTCAGCCCCATTCTGATCCCGCTTGCCATTTTCGCATTTGTCGCCATCTCCAGCCTGTTGAGCTTTGGGGGTTTCGCATCCTTCGTTGTTTGGGTGTACAAGTACTACAAGGGCGCCCACCCCGTCGGCTCCGATCAGGTTCGAATCCTTTGCTTATGAAAATTTTCTCGTGTTTGGATTCAGTTTAGTTGTACAATTATCCTCTTCTGTAATCTGGCTTAACCCCTCAAAAGTTCCTACTGCTTAGGAAACTTCTTTACAACCTAGGCATGTTAGAATAGTTCCCTGGTCTAATCACTGGGCCTCCTCTGAACGGCTCATGTTTCAAAGATCATTAGATTAATTGATAAAAAATACTGCCATGGGTAACTGCCGTGATGATTAGTGCTGGAGTCGGCTAGCTGCAAACCCACCTTTGATTGCTCAACATCTTCTGAAGTTTTTGGTCTATATTTGTGTCTCTAGTTTAGTCCACTTCAGGTTGGAGTAAGTTGTCTATCGCATATGGTTAGTGTCCGTGTGAAGGACACTAGAAGGACTAGGCAACTCGTTGGACTAACACAGCACCCCATGAATGAGAAAGTTGCTCACAATGCAGAGGATCATGCGCAGGTTGATGCTGCACGTTACCGTATTGCTGAAGGTGCGAAAGAGGTCAGGGACAAGACATATGCCGTAGCAGAGGATGTCCAGGAATTTGTTTCCCAAAAGACGGACACCAGTGTTGCAGCTTAGACTTATGATCCCAGCAGTAGCCACTGCGGAGAAAAGTGGCACAAGCTCCGATGTTCATGATGTTAATAGTCTTGTGAATATCAATCCTCTTTTTGCTTGTGTGCTTTACGCTTCAGTTTGTATTGAGGTGTATGCTTCAAGCTTTTTAAGGACTGCCTGAACCTCGATGGATAAGTGCCAATGAACGTTTCATATCTTACACCCCTGGTCTTTATCATATTATAGATGTTTCAAACGCAAGTCATGTGGTTCTGAACAAGATTTTATCACAGACTGTTATTTTCAAGAGTTCATTTTGTCATCATCTATAGAAGGGAACTCATTGGTGTTGCATACATTTTCATCTTCTATAATTCAAAAAGAGATTACACTGATTATTATTATTTGATCGGTTGTTTGTCTTCTGTACATGTTTTCTTTTAGTTTAACTTCTATAGGTTTTGACTTATATGATGTGTATTAACCTTAGTATTGAATATACTACTAAAATGTGAAAATTGATATTTTTGAATTTTGATAATATTATTAAAATATATTATTTTGATAATATCATTCATTATACTTTGGAACTGAACTTCAAAAAGGATAAAGATGTCTTTTCCATAAAGTTTCAAATACTTTTTTTTTTCAATGTATTTTTAATAATTTTTGTTCGGAATTTAAAAATAAATGACAAAAATGAAACTAGATTTTTGCAACATAAAGTCAGCGTGCACGACACTTCAATTTTTAGCTTTCAAAACTAAATGCAATTTAGAATTATCTTATTATGGCTTTGATACATAGATTTGTTATTATAATAAGAAAATTTTAAATTGCATTGATCGTGTATCGAAGTATAATTAGTGATTCAAAATCTTCATGAAATCATGCTTGATGAGCATTCTATTAAGAAAGTTTGTGATCAGGACAAAAAATTAGTGGCAAAACAAAGATTGCTAAGTGGTAACAATAACAGTCATCACTTAAAACCATATAATCTAAGAAATTTACAGCATATTTGTTTGCCTCTTTAAATGATCTGATGATACATGTGCCTCAACAGTCATGCTTAAGTGACTATAAAAACTTTACAATTTAACGTGTATTGACTCCCTGCAAACTTTAACTCCCCGGATTATCTTTCGTCCATTGGCAGAGCATGAAAAGCAATCCGGAAATCAGTTGGAGAATATCTAACTGGGAGCCGAAACAAGCCTTCAGGGATAAAACTTACATATTTCTCAGTATAGTTTACAGATGAAGATTGAGAGCAGAATCTTGAAGTTACAAGATATGGTGTATCCATTCCGACGCTCCAGCTGCCACCAACTTCTCTTTTGTATTAGGTAGTTTTGTTATTTTGTTTGTTTGTTTGTTTGTTTTGTTTTGTTTTGTTTTGTTTGTTTGTTTGTTTGTTTGTTTTTCTTTTTTTTTTTGCATTTCTCCTTTTCTGAAGAAATTTATACTCTGCAAGCAATTTGTATGTAACATTTACAATTAGAACTATGATAAAAAGTGTTTCCTCCACAGAAAATTACTTGCAGCTTCCGCAAATGCCTACCCAGTTAAATCTTCTAAAGATACAGTGCCTCAGGTCTAATGCACCTCTCATGATATTGCAATTAGGATTTCAGGTGCTTGGCAAAAGGTTGAAGATATACGAGTTCAGTTTCACTTACTGATAACATTGAGACATGGTAATCATGTTCGGATTCTCGGCATTATCTGCATCTGCAACATCTCGTTGAACACCATAATATAATCGAAAATGGAAATGGCAAGTTTATGTGTATGATCTCCTCGCGTTCGTCCTGCACAAGGTTGTGTAAGAAAAAATATTCAAACTTTCAATTAAGAAAAGAATAAAAAAAATACTGGCCCTTTATTCCATTAAGTTAGCTAGTCATTGAAGTATGAACAGAAGAGACGAACAAGACTTGAAGCTTTTGATGAAATGCTTGTGAAGAGCTAATTGTATGAACAATTCGAGAGCTGTAAATAACACGAACGGTATATACATCGCTTACCTTCTTGTAATCAGGCAGTGGTTCAAAACTGCTTGCACATTCTCCATCCCTGAATTTGACATCAGATTCGACTTGCTTTCCGGCCAGATAACCGGAGTTGGTCAATGGATCTGGTTTTGAAGCAATATTTTCAGTTTTGTTGTTGTAGGGACTTGAATTCGAGTGGTTGTCATTCAAGGGCATCACTGAAGGCGTGTTCATATTCGGTGGAGGCAAAGGTTCAGTATCTGCATAAGAATGTTTCCCGGTACTTTCAGCAGTTGTTGTAGAGTGATCCTCGCCCTTGTCACATGTTTCGTTGGTTGAAAAATCGATATTATCCAACAACAAATCTCCTTTTACAACAACCTGGCCTTCTGCACCAGATGACTCAACGTTTCTGGATGAAGTCGTTGAAACAGGCACCTCGACAGCATCAGGAGCCAGCTCACTTTTCTTCTTTGAAGGTGTTGCCTCGTCATCGTTCTCACCGTATACGGTTGGTGCTCCCAACTCCCCTGCAGGTGAAGATCTATGCTCTTGATTACTATTGTTGGCCGATTCCTGCTCAACCGTTTGATGTTCAGAATTGCTCTCACCATGATCCAAATTAGATGAAGCAGTCTTCGGCGCTGGTGGCGCATCCTCAGAAACTACAGCTTCGCCGCTACTTCGGTTGTCCCTTGTTGCTTCGTCAAGATCCGAGACCTCGTGATGTTCAACAAAATCGTCTACTTCAACAGCCTCCGGCATGCGCAGAGTCGATCCTTCTTCAACATTCTGAACGTTCGTTTCTCTATCTACTTCTTTGTCTTCCTCATGAAGCTCATCATGCTGCAATGGAGCCAAGTCTGTCTTTTCCATAGAATCAAATTCCAATTTCTTGGCAACACAAGAATCGGACGTTGGTGACTCTAATTCTGTACTTGCTCCACCTTCAGGAGATTCATCATGGACCTCGCCATCACCTGCAGTATCCTTGAAAATAAATTGGGCATAGTCTGCGTGACCTTTTGAGTACACTTTCCCGTTCAGAATGGTCGAAGTACCATCTTCACGAGAACAAGACCCAGGCCGTGTAGGAGTATCAACTTCCCCGCCATCTACAACCGAAACTTTCATGTTAGAAGTAGTTTCCAATGAAATTTTAGTAAATTTTCAAGTCCTCACCCGTCACTTCTGTAGCTGCATCAAAGTATTCTTTAGAAAATCCTCATTAAAAGACCGTTTTGGTTCGATCTTTCCTTTACTAAAAGCGTGACTATCCTTGGAACAGCATATATGTTACCAAACACTCTAAATCTTAGATCATTTTTCTGACGATACTAATGTAGATTTTTGCTTGTCCATTGATTTGACAGATGTGCATGCTCTATCACAAGAGGCCACGTTAACATCTTTGAGATTTTTACCTTGGTCTGAAGTGAATTTGGCTCTGGAAGCTCCACTTGAACAAGCAGGACTCTCCGCCCCAGAACCAGGGTTGTTGTTAATGAAGTCACGAGTTATGGGAGAACCCACTACATTAAATCCATAAACTTCAACTCCATGATCCTTTGCATCGACAATCACTTCTGTATCATCATCTAGAAACGATGATTCTAAAGCGTCTCCATCACCAACCGTGAACTCTGGCCTATCAGAAAATCCCGGAACGATATCATTAGCGAGGTCTCTTTTCCTTTCAACAGATGCTACAAGATTGTCTAAACTTCGTAAATCTCCACTTCCCCAACTATTTGCGGAGAAGAACGATAGCCCACTTGCTGCAGTATAGAGTGACGCTTTACTAGACTCTGTTCTCAAAGAAAGCCTTTTGCTGATGGAGCCGATCCTCGATAAGGGTTCACTTGACACGCTCTGGAACTCATCAGCATCAGAGAAACTAGACCCAATATCCGGCTCTACAACAACAGCAAACTCCGAAACCCTCTGAGAGCCACCAACGCTTGTATCACTTGAGTCAATACCGATACAATTTGGATCGCCTTCCAATGCCTTAGGATTCGCCATTTCCTCGGTTTTGAGGTTCGAATCTGTCTGTGCCCCCAGTCCGTCTTTGAACTCTCCTGATGATTGAACCGAACTCTGCGACGATGGTCTGGATTCAAGTTTCCCTGGAGCCTTAGCGCTTCTACGACTCAACGGAGACAGTCCATTAATTTGGCAAAGCCTTCTAACTGAAGGTTGACGAGGGAGTGCATCTTGACCAACGCCGGGTGTCCTCGTGGGAGAAAATGCTCTCCTTGACGAAAAAGTATTCGACTTCGTCAATAGAGGTTTCCGTGACAACCCTGAATTCTTCCTCTGAAATGGTGTAACCTCCTGTGGAAACACATTCTAGCGTCAAGCAACAAGTGATGAACTACAAGATTCCAGGTGGCCTTGTGCGAAGTCTTCGCTCTTATCTTGTATACCATCCACTTGGTGACAAATGTAACTCCGAGCTTAGGGCCCCACAACTCGACGTGGCAATTCTTTGCCTCGTGGGAAGCGAGCAACGTGACACTTAAGCAGCGGTGTATTGTAGGACTTTTTTTTTCAAACAAATCTAACAGGCTGCAGGATCAAGTCAATCTAGTAATAAAACGAAAATTAAGAGGTGAGACTGTTACGCTTGTAACTTACTTCGCGCGGTGGATTGTTTAAGCTAATGCTTTGCACTTTGCCGGCTGACTTCGCAGGAGATTTATACGAATCTCCATTCTCCTTCACGGGAGACTGCACTTTTGTTTCTCGCGTCCTCGGTGACCTATTACAACATCGAGTTCTATTGAACCTTAATGAACATCGATTACCGAGCTTTAGACAAGCGACTCATTGATGAATCAAGCCAAGCACACTGCACTCTGAACCTATATTTTCAACCATTTTGCTGGATCTTGTCATGATGTCGTAATTTACGGAAACTCACCGATCATGTGCAGGCTGTGGAAATTTACGATGTTTAATTGAATTGACGAGTTTACCTTGGTTTTGTCTGAGGTGGCGACGGATATAGCTTATTGCGCAGCAAACGAACGAGTTCCTCGTGCTTCAAAAACACAAAACCAATAAATTACAAAAAAATTGTTGATCAATATGACGCTCCGTAGCACCGCCAAGAGAATTCTCAACTAGATCTGTCCCACTAACCCTTCAGAACGTACTACGGTGCAGAGGGTGCAGACTCTTGCACTGGCATAGCCGAGCGTACGCTCAAATTAGCGGCACACCGTAAATGCGCATGACAATATGTTTACACCCAAACACTGGAATATTATCACCATTTCCTTCAAAAGCTACAAGAATCCTCTTCACCAACGTCCATTGAAATCTAACAATCCAACAACGCCAGAGAAGACAAGAATGCATCACTCCATCCTGGTGAATCCAAAACAATTCCAAATATGCACCTTAACTCCCGCCGTCCGAATATTATTCTGGGCACAAAGCTCCTTGAGCTCCTTGCGTGATTTTTCCTGCAGATTGTCCCCCATCTTCAACTCATGAACTGCCAATGCACCGCTCTATAGTTCTCCTGTCCTAACTCCCTTCGTCCGTCCTCTCCAACTTCCTCTCACTCACAACACCATAAGCTACGTCACTCTGCTTTGCCTGAGCACACGCCCTATACGCCGAGATTGCCCCTCTCATGCGTTGCAGTTGTTTGTTCGTTTCCTGCTACTTCCTTGCTCCCGACTATCTTCGCTGCCGTGATGCCTGCTACCTTTCGCGATCCTTCCGAAAATCCCGAGGCACGTCGACACATAATTCGTTTGTGCCTGTCGACAAATTTCCAAATCAGCCGTCGTAAGATCTCACAACTTCTAACGATTCCTCACAACCACTTTTCCAAGTTTCTTTGCCATTCCGACAACGCCATTAGATGCGGTAACGAATAGAGAGAGAGGGATGTTGACCGATCGATCAACAGCACACCCGCAATCGAGAAAACGACGATCTACTACGATACAAAATACTCGTATCCCCATAAAGTCAGGTCGGCAGCTACCATTCAAAAGGTCTCCAAGTTTATCCCGAGAAAAAAAAAAAAAAAAAAAAAAAAAAAAAAACCATGTAAAAAATAAAATCACTGTTTGAGGTAACGTTACCCCTGGCCCGAGGCAAGGATCTACAAACCCAGCCTGCAAATGCGTAAGGTCCCTTTCATCTCTCGCTTATTACGACCGAACTTGGACGATTCTCGCAGGACCGTGTGATATTCCTACTATTTACCTTTCAGAGGTCGAGAGATTCAGTCGAGGTGATCACTGTGCATAGCGCGTTTACTTTTACTCTCTCCCAGCACCCAAAATACACCGTGTGCAATTCCATACCATGCAATTTTGAATTCGAACTGAGATAGTCAACATTCTCGCAATCAATGAGGAGTGATGGACGACGACAAAGTGTCTCAGTGCCGTCATTATGAGCGAGAGCTTCGACTCATTGGAATCATCAGCTTCTTCAGAAACAGAGTTAGCATGATGATGGAAGTCCCGGTAAACAAAGATTCACAAGTTCTGGCAAATTCATGTGAAGGACCGGACACGCGAAGGGGTAGTTTACATGAGCAGATGTGGCAGTAGCAGTGTTGAATCGCCGCGATTAGGTTTTCCGCAGGTTTTCCCTTTTGAATAGAGAGGTTGGCATCATCCTGCCTCCACGCTCTAACCATGTGTGAGCAAAGAATCTCGTGAAGCTTGATGCCAGAAAGAAGAAAGCAGTGAAACTTGCAGCTGTTTGTTTTCCCGTGAATCAAAGTTCTGTTGTGCTTTGAGATAGTAATAACCCAACAAGCTCCCGGTTCTTCTTCACGTGTGAAGAAGCACGGAGATGGCTCGGGTGCAAGTTTGTCTTGAGCTCTACACGTTCCAAAGATATCGTGTTGTAGCTTCTGAGTGCAGCTGTGTAGCAGAGGGATTTGACAATTGGCAGGGTGGCTGCAGCAAATAGCCCCTGAAATGGGGAGTCGTGCTCAACAGCACTACAGTACACTGTACAGCCGTCTTCTTTAGTCTGGATCTTCTGGTATCTCACTGTCGAAGATTGTTGTCAGTTTTCTGCACCTTGCGTAGGATTTCTACTTCTGCTCACATCTTCGGATGGCTTGCTCTGTTTTGTTGAGGCTTGGACTCCTCTGTACTGCACTGCTCCACCGATCAAGTGTGCAGGGTGTACAGTCAATGCTACTGATTACTTGTACAAAACCTTAGATAATAACCGAAAAAAATAAATAAATAAATAATTTAAAAATAAATACTGTGCAAAAATTAACAGCAGGGGTATGAACCTTGCAGATGATGAGTTCTTACTAAAAGTGAGGAGGCGCCAGCATTGCTATCAAAAAGGCACGTAACAAAGAATAATGTAATGTCTACAAAGGTGTGCTAATCGATGACGATGATTCTATACCGCTGAAAGCCCTTCAAAAAGGCCTAATGAGAAGATAGGTACTAAAACTAAGGGCACAACTGGCTGGATTGAAAACACTCCATCAAAACAGCGCCAGAATGGAAAGAAGAGCAGCAGAAGATGATGAGATTGACGAGACGTGGCGCTACTTACCTTGCAATTCATTTCCTCGGCAGAAACGATAATCTCCCCGTTCGAGATTCTGCTCGAATGCATGTAAAGAACGCATAAGAAAAAGTCTTGTGGAAGCACGACGTCACACCTAAATGGGTATCCTTTTTTTTCTCGAGAAGCAAGAGGCAGCTCGAATAAACACGAAGAAGAAACGTCCCAACAACAACAACAGCAACAAGATGTGGAGCTCGGATCTCCGATTCCAAAAGCGCAACTCCAGTCACACGCCCCCTCAAAATCAAACACGAATTCGTCAAGTAACACACACTTCCGCACACTTCCGCACAATTCCACAGATCTGATCAGACGCTACAAACTCCACCAACCGAAGCCACGCCCACCAAAAATCTTGTCAGTCGATTGACAACACAACACCCGACCTGGAAAAACCCACACTGCAAAGGCAACGAGCACGTCAATCATGGATTATATATCTTTGTTGTATACACATCCATAGCTGAAGGCCAAGTCAAACCCATGACCAGTTCCTGGCAAAGCCAACCATGGAAACATATCATATTCTACAGCCCAACGCCGCCACCGAGATGCTCTGGCAAAGTGTTTCCGGTGCTAAAAAGGGACATCACTGCTGGTAATAAACACATTACTATTCCAGTCAGGGTGTACATACACAGCAAGTGGGAATAATATTACAATTACAATTCTAAGGGAGAAGAAGTGAGTGTGAGTGTGTGCTAAGGCATCCGAAGAAGAAGGAGAACAATTCAACAGTTGGGGGTCAAACAAGAAAGTAGTGCAACAGAAACAGTGAGATCTGGAGCTGAAAATGAGGCTGGAATAATAATTTTTACAACGCTGATAGACTGACTCTGTGGCTCTGTGAGTATGAAGTAGTCACACAGTGCAAATTCACAACACATAACTCTCGTGGTGTGTGTTTGGATTACTCACTGGGGCTGTGAATGAATTCACTTGCTTGTGCTCTCAATTTGGCAGAAGATTTGTGTTTTCCTGTTTTTGGTGTGGCACCCAACCTCGTTTGATTATCCGAAATGTGTGCAAGTTGTGAGCCATTTTTTCCTCGTTTGCGGATCACCTTCGAAACTTGCCCCACTTCCTCTGATGGAATCTGATTGTATTGTAATGCTTCTCTGTTTTGTTTTGTTTTGTTGGTTTTTTAATTTGCTTCTTGGGGGACCCAACAAAGGTTCATTTTTAGGATGAGAGGAGAAAATTATGACTAGAAAAGAATTGGTAGTGAGATCTAGTCTAATAAATTCATCAACAATCAAAAATTCTTTTTAATATTGATATATTTGTATTTTATTAACTTAAATTTTAATTTTTAACAATTCCATCGATTAAGATTGATTGATGGAACTCACATCTATCATGAAGTGGTAGTAAGATCAAGTCTAGTTTTTAGTTATAAGGAAAAAAAAAAAAAAAAAAAGAAAAAGAAAAAGGAGGGTATTTTGTTGGAGGTGGGACATAGCTTCCTATTGGATCTTATTATTTTAATCGGGTGTGAAAGAGTCTTTTTTTAGTCCAAAGTTGATTGTATTTTCAAATCAGGTGGTTTTTCTTGTATTTTTTTTTATTAAGTTTTTTTTTTTTTTTTTTTTTTTTTTTTGCACTCAATAAGTGTTGTTGATAAGGAGGCTTTTGTTTTTTTAAAAATAGTGCAACAAAATAATTACAGATTTTGTTCTTGTGTTAAGTCCAAATGATTCATATGTATCCATTGAAGATGAATGACTAAAAATAAGAGAATGTTTTGAGAGAATTAGATTGAGGTGCACTAATTATTGTTTATTATAAGTCAAGTGCTAATTCAGGTCTTTGTTTGAGTGATTTGATATAAACTTGGTTGAAAAGGAATTGTATACATAGGACTTGTTAGAGTTTGTAACATTAAATACATTGTTCTGGAAATGTAAATAAAATGCACTGGTAAAAATAGATTAAATTTTATTAAAATTAAATACTTATAAAAAAAATTAATTATGATGTTCTAATATAAATTATTCAATGTGGCTTTCTGTATTGTGAACAAACTGTGAAATAAATTTAATTGTATGGATCAATGATACAGGAAAAGGTAAAGTAGAGATAATGTGCAAAGATTATGTAATAAGATAATTGGAAGAACTAATATGGGTCAATTTTTTCTTTCATTATTTAGGTGGTTGTAGATGTTACCAGCTTTTCAAATTGATTGAATTAAAAATCAAAATACTGTACAGTTAGCAAAATTTTAAAACCTACTCTTATTTTAAAGCAATAACATTAGTATCTTTCTACATTAAAGTGAGTCAATAACTTTTAAACAAACAAATATGAATTCCAATTTGAAATGTTTATTTAATGTATCAATTTATAACTCAACTATTTAATAGACAACTTGATGTTATCAAAAAAAATATTAATAAAAAAGATTAAAAAGTAAATAACAATCATAAATTTATGTAAATAAATTTTAAAATTTTATGAATAATAAGCTTTAAATTTGTAGTTCTATAATTATATTTTAAATAAATGTTGAAACTTGATAATTTTATTTTTTGGTTGTAAAAAATAACAACTTATGCATTCTGTGGTATTATTTTTATAATTTAGTCCTTATTGAATTCAAAGAATTGATTTTTGATCAAATAAAAAAAATATTCTTGTGTTATGACCTTATATTATTATTAAATTATTACATAATTTAGTTACTAATAAATAACATTGTATCTTGTATAATGTTCTATCTGGTAGCAATTTATCTTTTCTATAAAGTTGACATGAGAAAATGAAGATGTATTTCTCAGGTAGTGTTTTGAATTTTCATCAATAATATTGTTTTTCACAAATAAGATTTTTTCAACTCATTCACTTGCTCATTTATGGGTTTTCTCTGAGCTTTTGTGATTAGCCTCTTTAATTAAGAATGTGGACCCCAATCAATTCATTAATTAAGAGAGAAAAAGAATTACCCAAAAAATAAGAATGTTTGGAATTTGCAGAATTATTTTTGTTACATAACCATATTAATCACCATGCAAATCTTATTATTTATAAAAAATTATAAATAAATTAAATTAAATTTAAATTTAAAAAATCATATTCTTCAACCTTTTCAACATAGATCTAAGATTTGAGTAGGAACAACAACAAATTCAAACATAGTATGACCACGAATGTGAAAAGTTTTTTAAAATGTTGAAAGTGCTTCTAAAGTCAAGTTTCTCATTTAAATTGTATATACATTTTCCATCCACTTTTTGATAATGTATACAACTAATTGAATACAAAATTGATGAAACTTAAACTACAAGAAAGTGAATCCTCCATTAAAAAGTTGAGGATGGGTATAAAGATGGGGCCCCTATATGAGAATGCTAGGGGAAAGTCGGTGGCCCTGGGGAACGTGGCTTGGGAACAAAGTGAGGTGGAGCCAGTCATGGAGCTGAGTCAAGCACACGTGGGGTGCCACGTCCTCCGCGGTACTCATTCGCGGGGTCGGCTACAGGACCCCGCCTTTCGGTCGCGTGGTCAAAGGACCGCGTCAGAAGGGGCAGAGTAGGTCGACCTACTGGACGGTCACCGGAAACCGCTGAACGCCATCCTTCACCCGTTTCTGTCCTTGTAGAAATATATTAGTTTCTCTATATCCTTATTGGTTTAGTGAAGATCATACTCCAATATACTCCAATTAAAAATTTAGAGTATGTCTGTACATTGAATAATACATATAATCATATGTAAGTTGAATATATGAATCGTGCTAAGATAATATATATATATATATATATATATATCTTCTTCTTTTATCTTTTTAAGATAATGTGAAATAATTTTAAATAATATTATTAGATAAAGTAATAGAAGTGTTGAGTGTTTATAAAGGGTCTTTATATTTAGAAGAGACAATGAGAGATTGCAACTTTTAAAACTTGTGATTGGTTAAAATTGAGAAGTCTCTTCCTAAATTGGCTCTATATTTAAGAAAATTAGCCAAATTACCATAGGGGGAGAAAAAAATAAAAATTTTATTTTTTAAAATCTTAAATGAAATAAATAATAATGACTTTCTAATTTTGCATTAGACCTACTTTAAGAGATGGTTTTTTTACAAGAAAAGAGAATAAAAAATATACTGAAATTTTCTAAAAATGATTAATAATTAGTTTTATTTTATTTTATTTATTTTGTTTTTCATAATTATTAGAACCATTATATGAACCTCTATATTTGAAATTATGTTAAGAAATAGTTGGGTCCTTGTGATAACCTCATTTTACTATCTCTAAAGAGTAAGATTTCTAGCAAACAATTTGTTTTTTTCACCAACCATACATCTTCATAAGGCTTTTATTCTATGTCATTTTGAGGTGGACTTTTAAGTCTCTAATTTTAATGCATAAATGACTAGTTCTAAACTATTTTATCAAGAATACTTAATTTAAACAATTTTCTAATGTCTAAATGTTGTGCATACAATTTCTTGATTATATTATCAAGGTGTATATTTGGCTAATCATCAAATATTATAACAAATCAAAAATGTGTAGTTTAGTATTAATAAGCACTTTATAAATATACAATAAGAATTATTCTTTTGATTCCTTCAATATAAAAAGGTATAATAACTAAATATATTTGTGTAATTTGTAAAATTTATAGCACAATGAATAATAAATTCAAATGCTATGTAAAAGCAATGATGCATTAGTACTAATTTTATATCCATAGTATAGAGTCATTCACTTGTATCACTAATTTTTTATGCAGAAATGTTTCTTTTGGGTTATTTTTAATGTTAATGTTAATAATATACAAATTTTGCATAGAAAATAGGTGTTTTTGGTAACTAAGCTCGATTCTCTCTAATTTAAATGTCTAAATGTAATAAATATGTATACATATATACATGAACAATAATATCTTATCAAATAAGTAAATAAATAAATAATGCTTTTTTTCTGTGTAATGCAATGTATATTAAACAAAAAACTTAGAATATAAAAATTGTATTGTTAAGGTTGCAGATAACTTTGTTTACAATACAAAACTTAAACTTTCAATAGTAACAATTCTAAAAACACATAATCAATTATCTTTAAAGATACACACAATTTTCATAATAAATTTATTTTAGTAAATTAACTCATGTGTTCTTGTGCAACATATCATACAAATATTTGGCATGCAAAAATTGAATGAAAAATATTAATCATTATATTTATTTATAATTTATTTAAATACTCAACTTAATTAAATAAATATAATACTTATTTTTACACTAAATAACCAAATTGAAAATCAATTGGATAAATACAAAAAAATCAAAAAATTAAAAAAATTTGAACTGAAGTGCATATTAAAATATCCAAAATTTTCTTTACGTGAGTAAGGTCAAAGCAGTATTTACAAGTAGATCCAATCGATAAAAGAGGTGAAACATTTTTCAACCTAAATTTTTAAAAGCACTTAAATTTCCAAGTTTTAAGTGTAGCTAATGGATTATGATTATGTGGAATAGGTAATCCACAATTAAACCTTTGGTCTTCATTCTTTCAATCATAACCCATACATTTGAAACTGTTTTTCGTTCAGTATCATGTGTGTTCATCAGTCTTGATTGTTTATATCCTACAAGATCGACTAATATTAATATGTAAGCATTCAACGGTCATCTTAGTTGTTGAATAAATCATCAAATAATTTACAGACATTAACTGCATAAAAAAATTATATAACACGCACAATTTCAAAAAATAGTGCAAAAATTCACATCCTCAATGCACTGTTGACATCACGAACTCAAACTGCATGAAAAAGTGTCAAATTCAGAAAAAAAGAAGCATGGGGATTCTGGGTAATATCATAAAATGATCAAGAATATTAAATCAGTAGATTGGAAAGAGATAACCCAACTACGAAGTTTGGAGAAACTTATCCAACAATCCACTCGCTGAAACCAGAAAGAAGACTGAGAATGAAGGAAACCGAAGCAAGTATTAACAGCATCCCTTGGAGATAGATCAACAGGAGCATGTAATTCTCGTGTCCCATAAGCACCTGAATGGCCGCAACAATTGGCTGAAAATATATACAGATATAAATACATGGGGTCATCAACTAACGCCGTGTGCATTACCGACTCCTTCAAATAAAACTGTGTGATAAAGAAGAAGAAGAAGAAGAAGAAGCTTACTTCAGTCTTAGAGCTGGGATTCTTTCCTGCTGGTTTAGTCTGCAAAATGATTTCAACACGATGGGTTTGCTGACAATGAGAGCGAGAGAGATAGAGAGAGTCCCGGTTTTAATTACATGGAAACACATGAAGCTGTCTCCTGCAGTGTGTGATCTGCTCGATGTGTGATCACTCGATCGCTATTCTCTGGACATGTACTCCATCTTTCATCGGAAGAACACACAACAGCGGACCTTGGAACTTGAGATAAGCCGACCTTCAGTTGTTGAAACGAGTGAATGGTTATGAAGGAAGATGTCGGCTGAGGATTGCTTCGAAGGCAATGGACAGGTCCCTGTTCTCTGGACCAAATATTCTCTCCGCTTGTCCCAGTGTGTCCTAAATCACCGAATATAGACTTAATGAATAGTCTGTTAAAACTCTTCTGACAAAGAAGAAAGTGAAACAACCCCCCGAAGTACATACTAAATTAAAGTGGAGTCGAAAGTTCACCTCTCGTGTTTGCCGATGTGCATTGAGCTCCTTGATGTTGGCCAAAAACGAGCTGAACTGCTCATACGACAACCGACTCCTAGCTTGCCGGAAAAACTCCTTGCCATCTAGTCGAGTGGAGCGCGCTGCCATGAGTAAATTGAGACATAAACAATCAGTCGCAAGGAACAATAGCCATAGAAACCTGGTGTTCCACAAGCAAGCTACAAGTAATGCCAGTGAGTTTGATGTATCGCGTATTTAATGACATAGGGAAGAGTAGTGATGGGGAACATCACATTGTCCGGAGCCATGACTTGGAGGAGAGCTAGCCCCGCTGGTTGGCTGCGACGATGGCAGCTGGATCATCGAGTTCAGAGGTGAATCTACATTCTTAGGCAAACGTGACCCAATTGGGATTAGTTGCGAGCTCGGCCGCAGAGTCGTTGATCCTCCTACGATTTGCTTCGGTACGGTACGTCCATTCCGTGATTTTGGTGGTGTTGTTCTGCCGTCTGCGAGAATGCCCAACGTTTCATGAGACTGACAACACAGAGGAATCGTTCGGCTCTAACTGCAAGAGGTAAAACAAATCACATAGGAGAAAGCTGAATTCGGATGATTCGTTAAGGCAGTTCGCCAGTTACGAAGAACAAGGAAGCATTTTTTCAGCTAAGGATTCATTTAGAAAAGGTCATCACCTGAAACTGCATCAAGATCGCCTTGATACTTGGGTGGATCGGGACGTGAAGACGTTTTTGCGTAGCGACCATGATCCTCGAAATTTTGCGCCTTAACCACGGCTGACTCCGCCTCTGTTAAATAGGCACATAACAACAGAGCATCACATCTCGTGCAGAGTTACTGTATAAAAGGAGATGAAACAACTTCCACCGCAAGTAATCCAAGTACTACAATCTATACAGCATATAAGGTTGATGCTTTGTTATTTACGTGAAGCCTTCCATATTGCAGAATTCGGAGCGAGGTTGTCATCCTCCTCCTGTTCAAGAGAGTGCATGAGCGTCCTTTTAAAGGTCTCCAGCTGCAAAATTCGGCAGGATGAGTAAGAAATGTCCGTATAATTGTTCGATATAGCGAGAGGCAATGTTGGACAGACTTGAACGTAGAATAGAACAGCTCAAAGTCGAAGTTTATGCTCATAAGATGCGCGAAATCCATAGCTACTGACCTTCGCAACATCCCTCAACAATCCTTTCACTTGTAAGGCCAGTGAGTTCTTCTCATCGACTAACTTCGTCTGCCACGAAGGAAATACACAACAATAAACAAATCACGAGTTAGTGAGGACTTATCGTATAGAAAAGCGCTACTACACCGAAGTGTTGATCAATGATTCTAGTCAAATCGAAGAGACAGCGCAACCATTTTATGCGGGGCTTTAACCAGAGATAAGGAGAGCAAAGAAAACTTCAAGTGTTTCAAGCTTCACACATTTTCGCTGCGAGTCGAAAAGTCGAGGTCAAGGATTACAATGCTGTATTCCTGTATTCCTGAAGGGGTGTCAACTCTGCGGCTACTTAAACAACGACGCGACCAAGTGCTACAAGCGATAGACCCACCTGCTCAGCTTCAGACTGCGACAACTTGGCGTTCAGAACCTGCAAAGCAGCCTCGGCTTCGAGCACACGCCCCTGCAATCCATGAATGACTTGCTCCTTTTCCGTCAGTTTCTGGCGTAGCTTTCCGGTTTCCGATTCCAGTTTTGACATGCTCGTCGCCACAGCCATGGCCGTGATACGACGAGCGACATCGAGCTGCTCATACGGATCTGAGGGAAGCACCGACACCAAATCCTGCGGCAGCTCACCCTGTCCTCCGCTGCCCATATTCAAACCCAAATGCAAAACTACCCGCAACTCGGCACAGCCCAATCCCTCCACGACGTCACTCCTCCCGTCAGATTCCACCTTTTCTTTAGTCCACATATCATGCCTCTCGCTTCTCCACCTTCACAACAACAACACAGAACAGCCTACTCCCCAAAACCAGCTCAAATTTTGCACCGGTTCCACTCCCCACGGCTGCGTCCCTACTCGCAATCCCGAACACGAAGACGCAACAACATCAGGTGGCAAGCGAGAGGACGCGAAAGACGACGAGGGCGCCACAAGATTCTCAATCAAGTCCACGGTGAAAAAGCGAGCCTTCCAAATCGTGTGGGTTTGTTTGTTTGTATCTGCGGGGGGTACAGTTGTGTGAAGATCGTTGCCGCACGCTGAATCAACAATGCAGCAGGGCCTGTGGAATGCGAGGCCATCGTTCGAATGATCCTCCATCTCTCTCTTTCTGACGCTTCCCCTTTCACGGAAGCAGGACGCCATGCTATTGGCAATCGCCTCGTAGTCAGTCCCCACCAGCACGGATCCGCAGCTTCTCGATTCGATCTCCGGTGGAACAAATCCAAGAAACCTTAAAACTGCTGCTGCTGGCTCCGGCGCGAGCATTAATGGAAGTTAGCCAGTGCCCTCGGAAAGGGGGTGTTATTACTATTAATGGCTTACCAAGTTCCCTTTCGAACCCCCACGTTAGAATAGAGGTACGCTCTCGACAGTTATGATTGGTCCACGTAAATGACACGACACGTCATCGATCTTCCCGCCAACTCTGGTCCTTGGGACCCGCTGAGGTGGAGTAGAAGTTGCCAGGTGTCGTTTGGATGAATATTGTTTCGTGGATGATTGGAGGTGCTTCCAGTGAACATCGCCCCGTGGATGAGATAATCGGTCTTAGGGATGGGACACTGTGTGGATTAATTGTGCTCTTCGAAGTTATATTGCTTGGATCCATATTTGGATTTGATGGACGAGGATTTAGGGCACTTTATGTTAAAGATACGAGGTGATAAGTCTTTTTTATAATTTTTTGATTGGTTCAAATTAAAAAGTCATATTTTTTTGACTTTATACTTTAAAAGAAACATGTCCTAATGTTTTGAATATTGTTGTTTTTTGGAATTTTTATTGAGTCCATCTCGAAAAGGTGGTTTTTTATTTTAAAAAATTGAGAAGCAGTTTCAAAAAAATTCTTAAAATAACTATTTAAAAAAGAAATCAACTGTTTTTTTATTTCTCAAAATTGATTAAACCAAGATATAGATTGAAAAGCTTAGACTTATAATAAAAAATAATGATTTGGTTCAATTTATGGATTCTTCTTTCTTTATACAATATCCAAAGCCCAAAGCATCTAAAGGACTTTCTTTCACTAAGTAAGAGACCTAAATAAGTCTTTATGACTATGGCTTTTTAATGTAAGTTTTTAGGTATTAAATATCCATTAGACAATAAAATAGAAGACTAAAGTAAGTTACTTTAAATTTGACATTGTCTATATGTAAGTGGATTTTAAATCCAATTACATATTTCATCAAATTTATCTTTTATTTTAGATTTTTTACTATAGTATTAATAAAATTTAAATCTTGTAATTAAATATTTTTATTAAATAATTATTTTTTAATACTATATATATATATATATATATATATATATATATACACATACATATGAAAGCTTAAACTTAACATTATTGCCAAAGTAATTAGATAACCTTACATCTTTGACACAATTAGACATAAATGAATGCTCATACTTGACATCATTGCCAAAAGTATTAGTCAACCTTACATCTTTGAAATCATTAAATATAAGTGGATGCTCAAATTTGACATCATTGCTAAAAGAATTATACAATTTTATATTTTTGAAGTAGGTACATATATGTGGATGCTCAAACTTGATGTTATTACCAAATAAATTAAACAATCTTACATCTTTGCTATGATTAAGCTTAAGTGGATGTTCAAACTTAACATCACTATCAAAGGAGTTGGACAACCCTACATCTTGCAACCAATTAGATATAAGTGGATGCTCAAACTTGGCATCACTACCAAAGGATGCAAACAACCTTATATATTTTATAAAATTAGGTACAAGTGGATGCTCAATCTTAACATTGTTACTAAATTAATTAGGCAATCTTAAACCTTAAACATTATTAAATATACATGAATGTTCAAACTTAAAATTATTGCCACCTTACATCTTTAACATCAATATATATATATATATATATATATATTTATCGTTGTTTGAAGTTGAGATTATTCCTAAAAGAATTGAACAACCCTACATATTGTTAAATATTAATAAATGCTAAAATGTGATATCTTTGCCAAAGAAATTGCACAAATTTACATCTCTAATAAAATTAAATATAAGTGGATATTCAAATTTGACATCATTAGCAAATTTATTCAAGTTGACTTCAATTTATTCTAGAAGTAAATAAATAACAATATCTTTTAGTTTAAATAAATTCTTAATAAATTTAGAAAATTACACAAGAGTGTCTGCAAAATAAAAATAAAAATAAAAAGTATCTATCTTGCACTTTTTTATTTGATTCCTATATAATTAATCATACACGTTTTTAAATTAACAAGTTTTTTAAGAATTCAAAATCATTTGCTGAAAAGAATATGATATTATAAAATATGCTAATTTTTTTAATTATATATTCAAATATATTTTCTTTTATTACTTATATAAAATAAAATTATATAGAAAAAATATTTTTCTAATTTAAAAAATAATAATATATATAGATGTATATATTTTTTAAATAAAAATAAAAATTATACAATAAAACATAATACATTTTAGTTTTTTTTTTTTTATAGATATACATATAACACAAATAAAATAATTTAAACCATGAAATGTCTAATCCTAAAATATTTAAAATTTTATGAAAAATTGATAAAAATCAAAACTAAAATTTTATATTAAATATATTTTGTGCATTTTAATTTTCTAATTTTCACATTAGTGTAATTAGATAATCTTATTTTTTCAAGAACAAATTCAAATAAAATATTGAATTATGTATTTTTTTATAAGCTGATGATGTAAAATAATTACATTTATTTATTAAAATTTTGTATAATCTAGTTGGATTCACTTTAAACTATTTTTTGAATGCGAAATCTTTTTTTTTTGCAACAATTTGGATTGTATATTGTGTAGCAAATATATTTGTTAGCAGTTTTATTGCTATTTGTTGTAGCATGTTGTTTTACATCCAAGGTTGTTGAAATTACAAGCAATTTTGACTTTTTTTAATAATAGAAGGATGAAAGACGTGACACTAGGCTTTTTTAACATTCTTTATATAAATTTATATCTATAATTAATTTGTGTGCATCAAATTATTAAAGATTTGATATAAGGCTTGTCAAGTTAGATGTCACAACACATTTCTTTCTTTGGAGCACAAACCAAAATGTATATTAGATATCTTATAAAGATGAATGGCATCACTACTCTTTATGTTGTTTATAGAAAAAAAACAAGTCAACGAAGCCTTTGCACAATTAGCTTAGTAATACAAATAATAATACTTATAATTATTATTATTAACAATATTACATCGAAAATTTTAAATTAAAGAGGATACACAAGCAAATTCTAATGCCAAAGTTTGCAAACCTGGCATGTACTTCATTCTAATCTTATTAATTTTCTTTCATTGCACATTTATATTTTTTAACAAGTTTGGGAAAAAATAAAACAAATGTACTTTTTTGAGCTACTATAACAAATAAATTCTTAAACCAAGATTAAAGATAAGAAATAAAGAGAAAATTATATGCTTTAAAATATTTACAACATCATACATTCAAGATAGAAAAAAGCTTCAGATAGCAAAGCAAAATGAATTGCTTAAAAATCACATTCAAATTTATAAAAGATATACACAACTCAATGTAAAGTGGTGACATGTAAGATTTTGCATGATTGACTATACATGTATTTACATGAATATATTGTTCCAACTATTGGATTCATATCTAAATTTGCTGCAACATACAATTATTTTTTGAAGTACCAATATATTTATTGAAGTTATATGATCGTATGTCACTATTTCCTCTCACATGCTTAATAACAAGCCCAAAAGCCATCTCTTTTTATGAACACACAAACACACATTATCTAATTCTAAGTAAGCATAAGAATTGGTTTTTTTTCTTTATATTATCTTTTTATTTTCTTCATTGAGTTTTTAGGATGAAAAACCAACTTCTTCTTCAACCTAGGCCAAAGCTTGGCTATTTCTCTCAACTTCCAAATCTCTTACATAAGATATTTAGTTAATTGCATCCTTAATCTTTAACTTAAATACAAATTGGAAATATATTATTTAACTTGATTTGTAATATTCTCAAGAAATCCAATAAGTGTTAGTTAAGCTAAGAGAGTGTATAGCTACTAATAATTGATCATGCATAATTAATCATCATAGTTGTGTATAATTATGCATTGGCTTAAATTCTCCAAGCACACAAAAATTCTAATCTATTCTTTAATATTTTTTTTTCTAGCAATTCTTTTAACACTAGATTCTAATCCATAAAGGCATCATTGCTCAATATTATTCTAAATTCCAACTCTACATCGTCTACTCAGCATTAACACTTGTAATACTACATGTTAATATTCCTTATAAATTCATTGTAGACCTCACTATTGTGATGACATCCTTTTAGATATATATTTTCTATGGTAATTATATGAGTCTTCTATCTACATATTTAGCAATTTGTTATTTTATGACATTTGTTTGTTACCAAAAGATGTTAATATAAATGTTGATTGCTTTATTAGCATTAAGTGTATTGGGCCTTATCTTTAATGTATCTTGCATTAGTCTTTTGATGTTTCAAAGGAGAGATTTTATATCAATGCCACCTTTAATAAAAGATATAAATATAAATTTATGAACACTATTTTGGTTTCTTTGAGTTGAATCATTTTTAGTTTTCTTTTGAAATCAAATTATTATATTATGATAAAAAAATAAAAAAATAAAAGTGATTGTCCATATTGTAGTTGCAATAATTATATATGCATAAAGAAAAAAATATGAAATAAAATCAGGACTTTTAATCCATTGAAATGAATAGATCCATTAAAATATTTAATTCAATATGAACTTTAATTTAATGGAAATAAATAAATTCTAGAGGCATAAAAATATAATGGCTTTCAATTCTTTTATTTTAAAAGTTGATAAATGTTTCATGTTAAATTTTAGGCTTTTAAATTCAATGATACATTTTTCTTGTCAATCACAACCAAGATTTTTAAAATCACAAAAAAGTAAGATTTATTTTGATTTAGAATTACATTTTAAGTATTTAGGCACTCCTCTAGAATTCTATTCAAAATTAATAGGTCTTACAGAATCTCTTTTAGCTCTTTGCTGTTGTCAGTAATAAATGAAGACTGTAAACATCCACTTATTTGTTGCTGACAACAGGAAAGACCTAAAATACAAGTTCGGTTTTGACATTCAATGCATTGAATTGGATAAAAATCACAAATTATTTTTTTACCTGTGTGTTCATGCACAATAAGTTACAACTGACCAAACGCAGTCTAAATGTTCAGATTAATCCATTGTCACATGCTTCAAATCAGAATCCAATAACCATGTGAAAGTTGATATGGCCTTCACTGCCCACAACCAAGTAGAATATATAATAAGTTAACAAGTAGTATTCATATCACATCCCCACACAGACAAAAGAACATGCACTATATGCATTCAAAATCAAGTAGGTATCCTCCTCTTCAGTTGAAACGATCATGCTTTTCTCTTGTCCATCACCTAGGAAGAGTTTCACATCATTCCCTTGTTCGTTTGTTGCGTTGTTTGATCATGAACCCTCATAATCAAACAATGCACCAAACGAACTGGCGAAATACAGTATCACAGGGGATTTCTGTTTGCAAGATGTGAACCACGGCGAGTTTGCTAAGATAGAAAACTGCTAAGGGACCCTCATGAGGCCGTAAATAGCAACGCCGTCTGAATACTAGTGACACTATTCACAGTAGGAAAACTTTCCAGAGTCAAGCTGTTGACACCCTGGAAATATCATACATTATCACCAATACTAACAGGTGTTCATTCACGAGCCAGCTATGCCACATACTCTGACTCGCTATGGAGTGGACACTCAATACCAAAAGTGCTCTATGGTTTCTGTACCAGTGTGTGGTTGCACAATTTATGTGCAGTGGATCGGCACAAGCGCTGGTAACTATTGCCTGGCTATCATCTACCTAAATTGTTGTTACAAACTATTCGAAGTCTCATTACTGAATCTAGCTAGTAATGTTAATTCAATGTTCCTCTACACTCAGGAGTACCGCAGAAGCAAGGTATCTTATCACCAACTTCATCGCAATTGAATTTGTAGTCATACGTGACCTCCTCGCCTGCGTAAATGTCCCTCTTCGCAAAGAAGACGACCTTCATCATTGTCAAAATCAACAATTTTCGTTTTAGGTACAAAGTATCTAATTTTTGTAAACGTAGACAAACTGAGAAAGACGTTGAAAATTAGAACAAATAATTTCAACAAAAGAATACTGGGATAATGTATCTGGGTTTTACCTTTTTGAGATTCTCCACACATATTACCTTCGCAACGCAATTAGGCTGGCAAACGACCGAGGTAAAAATTAGTAAAATGTTAAAACAGCCGCCTAAACGTAAAAGAAAATGCCGAACAGTTGGACATCAATATCCGAAACAAATCAGACGTATTGCTGGCTTTAATGATCCCACACACACAGAGCGAGCGAGAGAGAGAGCTTGGGATCAAGAGGTCCCTCTGTAATAATTAGCGGTGTCAAATTTTTAAAAAAGCGCTTGCTGCATATCCAATAGAGAGGTCTTTGTCAATTGATGATGAACTTTTCTGTTATAATTATCTAATTTGCTACAACTCGTCATCAAACCAGAGAGCTTACCGAGCAGGAATGGTTTACAAAACGAGCTATTCCACCTTTACGGGTAGCATCAATAATCTGCTCCGTATCTATTCTGAATAGATAGCAAGCACCTTGATATTGTAAGCGTTTTCCAGAATGATACTCAGCTTCCCGCTTGTCTGCAACACGTGAACCTACTATCTCGCCTACGTACTCGACAACCTGATGTGCCGCCAACCGCAAAAGTACTTAGAAATTGCACATGGGCGCACCATTTAAGCATAGAATCAATACCACTCCAAGATCTTATCAAATCAGTAGATCCTTCATCCACAACAAATGAATGCACCCAGTCACAACACTTGGTGGAGGCCATGGTCACATGCCATCATTTGGTAACATACAGCTGTGCACCAAATAGAGTTAACATGAAGATTCTCCAATTTGGCTGAGATGTACGCCATTATAGTCGAATACACCATGACATCATATCAAAAAGAGAACTCCCAGAATTACGTCACATATTCCCAAGTTCAAATGTAAGTACAAGGTAACAAATCTCACCACTTCACCTTCGGCAATGAAATCAGTAGTGTAGAGGCCGAGTGCATGGATTCCTGATTTATACACACCAAGTTTCGTCCAACCTCTCTTTTGTTTAAATCGAAGGTACTCCTGCAATTTGCGACGTAATCAAAGAATTCCTTCAGGAAATAAGTACCCGCTTCATTGAAACTTCAAAATGAATGTCATACCACTGAAACAGAACATAGCTACATTGAAACATATGAATTAGTAGCGCATCGGATTCCTTCGAATGTCCTCGAAATTCTACTAAACTCTATCGCTTTCAGTGATAAGAGACGTCAAACTTACTCGGTGATCACATTTCATGGCAGAATTCGTTGGTTTCAGTAACCGTCGAGTTGGCATTTTACGAACATCGATCCGAAGCGCTGCAGCGACTTGCTCAGGAGTAACAGCCATGGCTCCTTCAAGAGTCATCCGTTGCTGTGCTTTGGCTCGCTCTTCCAAACTCAGCTTTCCTGTGTACCCCTACATACATGAAAAGCCCATAGAAATGTTTTCAGATACTTCTCAGTGTAGACAGATTCGCTTATCTGTAAAAAAGAGAGAAAATGAAGCTCATGTAGCCAATATGGAGGTTCCGTTAAAATCACCTCAGTACGAGCACAAACTTCCCGCCTGGCAGGACGAAGCCCCACTTTTGTTAAATCGTCCAACTCGTTAACAGAAGAATCGCCATGATTTAGGCATTTTCCAAAAAAGCCAACCTGATTACTGCCATCCATTACAGTTTCACTTTGTAACAGACCCTGCATAACAAAAATAGTTAATGAAAAATGAGAGAAAATAATAGGGTAATAATGAATATAAATTATTTTTCTATGCATTGGAATTATAGAACGCATTGGTCTCAATAAAATGTCCATCGAGTTCCAAAACCCAGTGTGGCTAAAATATCGGATCAGTTTCTAGGTGAAGAATTTACAGGAATGTCCGATGTATTTCAAGTACCAATTGAAAAGATTTACCTTCTCATGAGCACACAAGACATGAAATGGTGTTGAGCATTTTGGTACACGACACTGTATGCAGGCACCACCTTTCCTCCGACATATGGAGCATAGCTGGCAAATTCAATAACACAGTCAACTTCAAGTTACCAAAAGCAATATTTCCAACACAATGCTCAGGTCCTCGAACAAACAAACTCAATTTGACGACAAGCACCTGAACAATCTTGAACCTCAAAACCAGTACCAGAGTCGGAGTGAGTCGAATAAAACGTCAAACTGCAATATACTCGCAGATGTTCACCACGAAACTAACTATCAACCTGTCTCATCACAATCTACAACCTCTCGCTCGGCAGATTGTCTATTTTTCCTACATATTTCCCCATCACATTCTATTGAGACATACAAAAAATGAAACGCTCATCTATCACTTCTGAGAACAACCAGATAATCAATAAAATCCAGATCCAACCAGAATACTCCAGTACTTACCATTTTTCGTAGAGAAACTTTTACACCCGATACATCGAACACTCCCATGGTTCCCATATTCAAGCATCGCGTTCCAGGCATCCACAATGTGCACACCATATGGGCCCACTGTTTGGCTCCACTATCCTTCAAGACGCTTCGAACGGTATTGTTCCTCCTCCAACTCTCACGTCCGGAATTTGCGAAAACAGCCCTATCAGAATACTTCACTATGTTGCCACCACTGCTCCCAGGCTCAGGACTGTCCTTACGACAAACTTTGCAAATCGAACTGTTGTCTCTGGGCCCCTCACAATCACATGACTCACATTCTGTGCCCATCGTATCATTACTCTTCGAACACTTTCTTGCCAAGACAGATACCGACCTGTTCTTCGATAACTGAATGGTGTTTGTTTCTGACAGAAGGGTTTTCTCATCATCTGCTAAAGAGGAGTCAGGCATGTTCTCATCCTTCATGTCTCGCCAAACTTGCAATAACCCGTGGCAGAAACTTCGAGCTTTGTGGACGCGGGTCATAGCTCCACCCCCATATCCACAAAGAACACATATCTACATAAACCAACCCAAAACTTCGTCATTCCCTCACCAGGTCAAATGCAAGAATCATTCCTCATTTTTAGGTCGCGTATTCTTGACACGAAACAGCTCTAGCAAAGTTAATTGTGGCACCCGTACCAAACATCAAAAGGTGAATTAGCCAAATCGAAAACAAGGTAGAAAACCCAAAGAGCATAGTAAAAAGACATATAAATGAGAAAGATCATTCCTGACATGGACAAGGAAACACCTAAACTATATTTAAAATAAACAGTAAATAACTCGAGGATCCTGAAGTTGAAGGAGATAAAAATGTGCCAACATCTCAAATAAAAAATACATACCAAGCTGGACAAAAGCAACTAAAAATTTGAAGCCAGAGAAAACCCGGAAGTAAATTATGCCCTTACCGAATTTTTGATCTTGAATTTGCAAGTACGACAAGACCAAGGCCCTTTCGGAATCTTGGGCACGCCGTAACATGCTTGATGAACCTATCCGAATGATGATCAAGATGAACATTACGTAAAGCATGGTCAGACATCATTTAGTTAAAATTCAGACGGCCAAAAAGGAAAATTTTTAAAAAAAACATTAATGATATCATATTGATATCAGAAAAAATAATTTGTCAACTGGACACTACCAACCACAACAAAGGATGAATGCAATCAAAAGTACGAAACTTGAGGCACATGCTCCATTAGAAATTCACCAGAAAGTTCCACGTCCACTAATATACATTCTTACCTTGACTGGACACCGACTACAACATAATAACTTATTGTAGCTGACCGAGGTGAAGGCTCCACAAACATCACATTTATTCCTTTCGTGAATGTTGGGCTTTTTTATTTCAAAACTGGCCACTGATCTTTCTTTTTTCAAATAAGAACCCATCATTTCTTTTGAAAACGTGGGCTTTGCTTTCAGCTGCATCTTCAAGTTGCTTCCCAGACTATGGTCCACGTGTTCTTTCAATTTTCTATCGTCTGAAAAAAGCTCCCCCATGGAACTGCACCAAGCAAAAGATGTGCGTTTCTCTCAGGAAACCCCTTTCATAAAAACCAGATCTAAATTATCCAGAGCATGTCCTTAAAACAACAGAGGTCACCAGTGTAAGGAGAAGCACATTGTAATGAGCAAGACATTCCTCACACTAAAGAAACCTAAGAAATAATAGCAGGCATAAAACCCAATACATAACTGATACTCCTGCACCATCTAGATGTGGTGCAAAGGAACATTGATCATCTTCGCAATACTGACTATAGTCTGATGAGCTACCGAAGACCAACTATTAGACAAGACACATCTAAGATAAATAACACAATATAAATAAACCCACATACACAACACAAGCCACCATCAACTATTTGAGCATCTGAATGATTATGAAGTACCTCTTCGGCAGAGCAACGCTTTCCATGGATGCCTCAATGTCGCAAACTAAAATCTCTTTCGCTTTGTTCAATCCAGAGATAAACTTCGGACGTTTCGTGCTGGCACCCGGCAGAGACAGCAACTCTGGTCCTCCTTTTCTCTTTAGCACCCCTAGTCCTGTTATACCCCCCTTTTGCACACGCCTCTCCTCGTGCGGCACTGTGTCTGTATCTCCCAGACGCAGTCTTTTATCAGAAGATAATGTATCCTTGTCCAGCGATTTATTTCCCTTTATTTTACTTCTCTTTACATTACTTGACCGTATCTGCTTCCTCACGAGGCAACCCTGCTCACCGAACCCCTGCCGAAGCTTCGTTTCTGAGATAATGCTGTCGCTTGCTGATCTCAACTGAGATAGTTCGCACTCAAATGTATCGCCTTTTCTAGGAGCTAATTTCTCCTTCTCTGCTACACTCTCGCTCCTGTCAACTTCTACTTGTGCGTCGATGCTTCTGTGCCACTCTACTTTCCTTCTATTTGAAATCCCTGGCCTCACTGACCTCTCACCGCGAGGGATAGGACCACCAATACCTACAGATCCAGGTTGTACTGCCGGGTTGTCCATTTGTAAAGCTGCTGACGCCTGTTTTCCGGCCTTCCAGACTGCTGCTGAATCCTCATTCTCTGCGAACTCGGACACCTCTGCATGTGGCCCATTCATGTTGTTCTTGCCAGTCAACTCCAACAGACTGCGGACCTTTCGATTCTGTGCATCTTCTTTGTGGACTTGTATCATCTTACGCCCTTCCTTCCACACTACTCCCGTATCAGGACGATTCTTATCCTTTACGTCTTTCATAGGACCGGCTGTGATATTACCAGTGGCAACATGGGTTTCAACTTTCTTGTGGACTGTAGCTTCTATTGTAGATTTAGAAGTCTTCCAAGATCCTCCCATGCCAAAATGATCTCGATCCTTGACTTTTTTATCACGACTGGCTGCGACACTACCAGAAACTGCGTGGACATCTACCCTCTTCTGAATAGTTCCTTCGTTTCTGAACTCTGGAACGGCTTCTTTAAGCTTCTGTACAACTGCCTTTCCTTCGAAAGCTTCGGAAATCGGACTGGAATCTTTGGCTTGTTTCAAAATCACGCTTAACGACACTATCTTCCCATTTCGTGGACTTGGTCGCGCCGATGGTGTTCTCGGACTGCGAAGACTCTTAGTCAAGAAAGTTGGTACCTTATTTGGACCTACAGTGCCTGCTTCCCCTAAACCTGAATCACAAATTGACGAAACTTTGCCCAGAGCTCCTACTTTGGAGACCGTCGATTCACCCATATCTGGCCCTCTCTTGCCATTTCTTATATCCGAATGACCCTCCTCAGCTGGGTTACCACTCCAATCCCTCCCGCCGCACTTCGACTGCAATTTTGTCCAAATCCCTTTCTTGGCTTTAAGACGGTTCACGCCTGCCACTGGAACTCGTATCACCAAACTGCCTGTCTTTTTCTTCGTATCCTCACTCAAACTCGCCGCCTCTAGATTATCCTCAGTCACATTCGTCAACTTCATTTCTTGATGCCGTCTCGGTATGGCCAGCTTCCGCCGCTTAGAAGGCGGCATCACCTCTCCGCTACTCGCTTTCAAATCCTTCGTCGATAAGTCCGCATCCGCTCTTACAAGCGCCTCCTGCACCTGGAATCCTATTCTTGCATTCGCTGGTGGCACCTGAACTTCAGCTTCGTGCCCAGACGAACTCGTCGGACTAACAACCTTAGCATCTCCATCCTCACCCAATTCCAGCCGTTTCCATTTCGTGTTACGTCGCTGCGTCCTCTCCAGTTTACCTGCCTTCACAAGATTGTGTGAGTTTGCCATGTATTTTCAATTCACAATCCACCATTCTGTGGGGAAATTTTAACTCAGACTCTAATTTCCCAAGCCGAAAAATTCACTCTCACACAATCAAAACCGGACAAAAGTAACTACAAAGTACTCGCCTGTGCTTATCACCGGCTCTGCTTCCACCTCATTAGATTCTGCCTCCTTGCTGCCATGGCACCCTCCTGTGCCTCTCACTCCACTTCTCTTCACAATAAGTCTTCTTCCCACGTTGCTGGATGATGGGCATCCCATAGACGATGGAGATGCGAGCTTAACTGGATCCTCCAACAACGACAATTCATTCTGATTCGTGGCCATTCCCATGTCCACATCGTCCGATGAAGAGCATTTACCTATTCCAGACCCTTCATCTACAGCCCCGGGAGCAGCCGTCATATCCGACTCTTGCACAACCGAAGGGCATCCTTCGCCACTAGCAGCACATCTTTCATCAGAAAGCCCGCTAGACACGTTCTCTGAGCTATTCGAACAAACTTCACCACCACCAGCACTCCTTAGTGGACTGCTACGCCCTGCTGCAGCGCCCTTCGCAGCAGTGTCTGACAACACACTATTATCCCCGGGAGCCACTCCTTCACATTTTGTAATCATCTCCTGCCGTTCCACCTCTATCTCTCTCCGTCTCGGTTCCCACGGTAAGGTCGGACCACTGGACTCCAGAGTACACTCTTTACCCTTCACTGTGTCCTTGTCCAGATGTGGCTCCGTGTCTGGCTGTTGGACCTGGGCACGACCTTCTAAAGCATCATGCTGGCCTTCCACAAAACCTACTCTTTTTCCAGCCTCCACCGTGCTCGCAAGGCTATTCTTCTCCTTCAGACAAACTTGTCCAGCGAGCCTAAACAACCACCACCACATTCAACACTAAGCTGTGATGAAAATAAAAATAAATGACTCACTATTCATACATGCCTGCGCTTCGAAGTCCACTAACTGCATACATCAAGGATGTTTAAAACTAACAAGCATATTTACACCACGTAAGAGCAATCAACGATCAAAGCTAACCCTCACAGAAACGCTGCAACCTCCCCTCACCTTGGCACAGCTTGCCCTCTCGTAGATGGACTTGCTTTCCTGCATTTGAAACAAGTGCACTGTGTGTCCTCCCCATTGACAGACAAAAGTTCGAAGTTTCTCTGCGGGCTTTCACCCGGCGCGTGACCATCTTTCACCTCCTTAACTGCCGGATCTGCAAAAGCCGCTTAGAAACATGTTAGACCAAGACACTGCCCATACACAGATTCAGGTGTACTCCGTTACCTACATATTTACATGCACAGAAATCTCCACAAATATTCTGTCGAAACCACATCTCTAGCACCGTTAAAAACAGAAATCTAAACAACTACACCACGATTCCGGGGCCTCGATTGGAGACCTGCTAGACGCTCCAATCGCACATCCACGTACTCAGCTTCATTGCGTCTGCTTTCAGCGTCGCCTGGCCTTAAACGTTTCGGAATCTCTGCGTTCTGCACTTTCCATCCCAAACCCGAATCTACAGTGTTCAATGCCTGGGGACCGCCTCGAGCCCAGCCTTGCTTGTCGTTTCCCAATGCCTGGTCATTCTGACTCTGCCACTGCTTCTGTTCAATTCTATTTGACATCAATTTTTGACCCTCCAATACATGTTCAGCACCCGGTACTCTTCCTACCTCGTTGCATCGTGTACTGCAATCCTCCTGCACAACTCTCTGAATCGGCCGCTGTGTCATGAACGTCATCCCTTGTTCTCGCATCTGAAATCCAAGTTTTGGATCCTGCTCCAACCTACTGTGACTTGCACTATCCACAATCCCTCGAGAACCAATCCCCGAATCGTGGTGACCTTGGTTCTCCATAAGGAAGTCAGAGAATCTAGCACGGGGAGCCATCGAGGGCCGACCAAATATATCCACACCGCTGGACAAACTTTTTGCCGCAACTCCTCTACTATGACCGTCCTTCAGCTGTGCCCTAAGACCTTCTGGCCCCATCGCTCGGTACGTGAACGATGACTGAATGGCTGTTTCCAAAAGCCTCTGTCCGGTCTTGTTGCTCAGCTGCATCAATGCCCCTGTGCTCAACGAATCCAAGCTCGTCCCATTCTCCAATGTCACGCTACGAGACTGATTAGGGTGTGAAATTAGCTTTGCCGCCAACTTCTCCGACCCCGATTGTACGACCCGGAACTGACCATCCCCACTCCTGCTCAAGATGCTCGACTGGTGAATGGATTCCAAAGACGTGAATTTTCCTTGAACCTGCTCTGATACAGCACTTAGTTCGTATACTCCTTGTGAGGAATGGAACACCTGCCTTGTACTTTGGGTTAAGTTGTGATAAGCTGCGCCTCTGTCCTCTCCGCGCTTCTCTTTACCGAAACCATCCAAACCATCTGTTCTGACAGGAACTGAATGTCGTGTCGTGTTGCCGCTTAGTTGCTCTCTCTTCTGACCAGAAATGCCAGAAAACTTAGGTAGATTCGTCGGATTGAACTGCTGTAAGTTATGTGGCGACTTTCCATCCCACACTGTCAAGAAACATACACATATCCACATTCTCCACATTAATCATACATATATAAATATATATAGGCTGGTGTATGCTTTAATACATTTGATCCACCAACCCAGACACTATACCTCATCTTCTACCACAAAACAATTTCGTGTGGAATTTGTATTTCCATTTCATATTGTCTCTGACGGGAGGTAACATCGGTGACATTAATGAGCACTTTTCTGCTGTTTAAATTTTTATTCCGGATTTCCAGTGCATATGGATAGACATCACTGTTGTAATCAGCATGCAAATTGTGAATACGAAACATGTGTTAAGGCGACAACCTTTGTTCATGATTTGTTCAAACAAAGGCGGCTTCGGATGATCCACACTGGAAGTTGCCATGGATGAGAAAGATGCCCCAGCCGCCTGTGTTTGCTGAGATGGCTGCCCCAACCGTAGCTCAAAATTTGAAGTACTGTCATTCTCTCTTGTACGACATTCCTGCCCATCGGTCCATCTGTTAACCAAATAGTTTACCCCTTTACCGTTCCTCACCTGCTGTTCCGCAGAGGAATAACGCTGACCTCCATCATTTGTAAAGTTGCGTTCATTGCTTATGGCTTCGTGACCTGCATGAGACATGCTTTGAAATGTAATACCTCCCATATTCCCCTGACCCCTCGAAAGGCTCTCGGGCGGTGGAGCTGTATACAACTGTCCAGACCCGACAGCCGATGTTACATTCACTCCTCTGTACGATTGCTCGTAATTCCTCAACTCCGTCTCTCTAGAATCCATTACGCTACCGTTTCCAGTGTTCAGCAGTCCGAATTTCGTATTAGAGTTGGAATTCGTCGCATGAAGAGTGGAAGTGCTCCCGTTGCCTACACGAGCATCCCACATCTGTGTTGTTCTGCTCTTCATCATCGGACTGGTTCCGCCACATGACACATCCACTTCTTTTTGCCACCTCTGAGTCGACATCCCTTTATCCCGTCCAGGCCCTATCTCACCAGGACCAACATCTTTATATTTTCCGTGCCCCGTCTCCACAGAACCACTATTCTGCCATTCCCAACCCACATTGTCCTCCGGAACCTTCACCTGCCGCCCAGAAAAGCAATTTGTGAGCTCAACCGCAGTGACCCTCACTGTGTGTAGTTGGAGAACCTCAAAATACATTCAGAAACATGTCATTGTATACATCTCAGCCACTAGTGTCCATGATGTCCATCAACTTACCCCAAATTGAGAGAAAAACAACTTTCGCCACTGTACCAAATTTTCACCTCCCTCCATAAATACCGCCAGTCCAGGATTTGAAACATTAAGTCCTGAATGCTGCACACAACCATACCATAAGATATCTTAAGCCACTAAGGACAGAGACAGGGTGGCAACTTAGTCACTTTCGTACCACTTCAAATTCAACACCAACATCAGTTGGAGCATTAAGACCTGCAGGGACCATACATTACAGTGCAGCTGTTCCTTACTGAACCAACAGAATAAGTACCTCCATCAAATACCTGGGTAAATTTAGCAACCGACATGTGTTGGCCGTGGCAGGCACAAGTTACTCCCAACTGCCCTGCGTCAGTCAAACTTAGCAGCCCACCTGCCACCACACTTCTCAGGTCAACCCGCAGTCCCAGAGGAATCCAAAGAGACATATACCCATCGAAGACGCTATATAAAACATCGTGACTTATCTACTCAATAATCTACTCAATTTCTCTTTGAGCTTGTATTGAGTAGATTATACCCATCGAAGATGCTACATAAAACATCTTAACAAAAATGAATCGCAACACACGAAAAGATACACAATGAGATCCCACCCACCCAAAGTCAAACTTGACATCACAAATCAGCCACTCTTTCTACGAGAGGCAATAATCTACTCAATACAAGCTCAAAGAGAAAGGGATTAAGCCAGCAACATGCACATTCACAGCCTGACAAACAGGGCCAAGACAGTGTGCCAAAGGCTCTTTGAAGATACTCACCCACAGGTACTTCAAAGTAGTTTATGCAATAAACTCGAAGCCCTCCGGATGGAGTCGGGCCTGGGTTTGAGTGAGGTTGGCTCCGGAAAACAGATCCCATATTGGATGACGTCGAGTCAAATTTGTGAAGGTCCCCATTGGCCATGAACAGAGTCGACGCTTGCACGCTTGGATACCGCTGCCTTTGTCTCAACGGCTCCGCTAACCATTGTGATGAAGAAAGACGTCGGCTCCCCTCCAAACCCAATTCATGCGTACCCCTGCTAAAACTTGAATTTTGCGACATAAATTCAGCTACTGGTGCCCTTGACCCATTCAGAAGGAAACTTTCGTTTACTCTTCCGCCAGTCGTGAGATTGAAGTCCCTATTGTGTCCAATAGATGGATCTGCCACTGTAGTAAACTTTGCACTACCGTCTAGGCGATTTGTTTGTGATGGGATAGAAAGATTTTGAGTAGACCATCCATCATACCCACCGTGATCTGCCAGATTCATTTGAGTGAATGGAGGAAGAGACGCAATATGACTCGACCGGGCAGTCAAGGATGGAGGGTTATTCGGCTTAAGTGGATGCTGCTGAGACCCAGAAACCATGGCCAGAAGTTCCGACTTGGGCTTGTTTGCACTGAGCCCTTGAGAGCCGAAATTCATCATATTCGGAAGCATATGCTCTTGCCTGAAAGTACGCTCGATAACGCAGAATTCCTTAGCCATGTAGGGCTGGGGCAACTGCCCTGAATCCAAATTGAACTACAACAGAAAACCCACACAAAAGTGATGATTAGCGCTTCTACATAAATTGCAGAAAAGCCGAGAATACTGACATTACCTGTACATGTTAAGTTAAACCACTATTTCACGAGTTAAATAAACGATTGTTGAATAGTTATTAATTACTAGAATTATCAGGTGGACTATATACAGTTAATTCGTATGGTGACTTCTCATAATTCCTTGCACAATTTGATACGTTGATGTAACAAACTGCAATGAACATGCTATAAAATGTACCTGTCTGATTAATATATCCAATCAGATCAAAATAACTTACCACACTGTATGCAAGCAAAGTTCCTTGTTCAAACAAATTTGTATAAATCAATTCCTAAGAGCTGGAAATGGTAAACCGCCCTCACTTTCTCCTGTGTCTCCCTATTCGTCAGCTCTGAGATTACGAACGCTCATTGTACAAATGGAGCTAAAGGTGCATTGCTACAACCATCCAAACAAGACTACAAAAAATTCCGATGAACACATTGAAAGACTCTGAGGCAACATGGACCACGTCCTGTTATTTCCCGACGAGCAACCCCTTCTTAGACACCAGGACACCTTTAAGACATGTAGATTACCTGGTTTGATGTTGACACGCTCGGGTGAGTCGGAGGTTTATTCAAGGGTGGCCTCATGTTCCACATCTCCTCCAAGGTCATCACTTAGCTTCGAATGCCCCCACCTAAACCATTAACTTTACTCTGAAATGACAAACAAGCCTCAGACTTGTACTTCACTTTTTAACTTTCACAATCCGGAGCACACTTCTATAGAAAAAGGCATGCCGATTTCGACATCAAGGAGCGGAAGACGGAACGAAATATGATACCATTGACCATTAGATATGCAACGTCCGGTAAACAGTGCACACTTCCAATTTTCCCTGAATGACAATGCCACGAAGCCGTGCATTAAAATACAAACAACGCAGACAAGTAGTGCAGTAGATGTTCCGTAGGCACTGACGCGTTCCAAAGTCACGACGACCGACTATCTCGGTTTCCAGAATCTCAACTACTGTCCTCAGCGATAATTGTGCCTCCTCAACGATCAACAACATAGAAAAAATAGTACAGAAATACAATCGCGTTGCAAAAACATGAAGTTTCCAAGCTGCAGTTTACTACTCCACCACTGCACCAATCGCTGCAGTCTGGCTAATATGTGACAGCATTGAAAAAACCACTACCCGCAGCATGTCTCCTGATGCCAGTCTCCATCTCTTCAACTATCTATGCCCCACAGAATTTTATATGTATACATATAAGATTTCTGATGATCTGAAAAAAAATAAGTCTCTCCTCTGTCAATACCCAAGTCTTTTGGATAGTCGCAGACACGACACGCTCCTTCTGCAATCTCTTGGAGCATATTAAGAGGCTTTGCTCCAAACGTCAATTTAAAACATCTTACCGCTGTCCTCGCAGATTTTCCACTCACCAGACAAGACCCTCACCTGATAGTAGATCCTTTACGGAAACCACAACATATCGGGGACAAGAAACACGACACTGCGCTCGTCCGCCCTCACAATTTCGATTGTAAACTCAACCTTGCCCTGCCCTGCCCTACACTTCTCCTCTCCTGCCCCACCCTTCCGCAACTCCTCAATCTTCAAAAAATTCCCCACTCCAACGATGCAAAAATAATAAAAAATGAATACATCTACAAGCCCCTAAATCACTCGTAATTACCCTCAATCAGCACCTCCCGATGGTAATCCCAGCACAACTGACTTCCAGAGCTCCTCCCCCGCTATAATCCACACCCATCAACCAACATCCCCCGTGAGAGCTCTCCGTAACAGCATTTCCTCACATCCCAAAACTCCTCTGAAGCCAGTCACCCCACGCGAAGCCGCTGGCGGAGAAGACGAGGAGACCTTGCGTGGTTGGCACCACTCGAGGGGGGAAGAGGAGGGTGGAGCAAGAGAGACAGCCGTGGCAATTGATGTTCAGCAAGCGTCGGCAGCGATTCTTCTACTCAATTCGCTGCTTGCACTTGCTCTTCTTCTTCCTCTTCCTCCTCTCCCTTCGTCCACCTCTTCCTATGTCTGTTTCATGTGTTGTTGCTACAAGGCCGAACTCTAGGGCATCCGCGGGCTCTGGTACCCGCCTACTCTATAGCGTGGACGATGAGCGGTGGGACCCAACTTAGCATTCCCCCTACAAACTGAGCCCTAGTGTAGCGTTGTGGGTTGTTTGCAGCCTTCCTCACCGTTTCATCTTGCACGCACATTATTATGCTCTCTGTCCATGTTGACTTACGCCGTACCCTTACTCCGGTCCCGGCCCGTTTTTGCTGAGATTGAGCGGCAATGGGCTCTCAGACCGATTTGCAAATTACATTTTCAAATTTTAGCATTTGCCTCAACTGGTGCTTAAAACAGTCGGGAGATATCGCGCGTACATCATATAATTAATGATGCAGGTACTGGCAGATGTGACCTCTAAACTGTTGTAGATTAATCACGACTTAGCTTCAGAACTTGTGTGAAGAAAAACATCACCAGCGCAGGTACTGACAGTGAGGATCCTGGAGGTTGAATGGTCAAACCATTGAAATTTATTTAAGGCTCTGCAGTTAAAGAAAATGTAGGATTGCGTACGCAAATGGATTTGGGGCATGCAAAGCACTCATGCACGGAGGTGAAGGAAAAAGAGTGATTATTAAAGAGACCAATCGTCAATCAAGGAAGTGAGAGGTGGACAATAAGTATCACTGGCATAACAGCTCTAGCACGCTAGAATACTGACGACAAAAAACAGACCGCTGTGGCAAACAAAGGGCTGCACAAAATAGAATGTAAAGAACCAAATGAGAGTACTGGAGTACAATCACGAATACTCATCTCCTGAGAAATCACTCCCATGTGTCTGCAGGGAAGATCAATATTGAATGGTAACTAAGAACGGTGCACAGCTCCATTCGTGTAACAAGTTACACCACAAATCGTGCATGACTGAAGCTGGGAAGCGCTTCCACTGCCAGGGAAAATTTCTTCCCCTTCGACTAGAAATGATGGAACCCAATACCAATGCCTAAACTTCCAATAGATTCGTAGAGTGGTTCAGAACACTATCCAAAAGACTCCAGGTCTATCCTTTTGTTAGCAGCTTCGTAGGCTACAGCCACACTTTCATACTCTACGACACCTGTGATTCCAGTTTTAGAAAAGGCCAAAAACCTAACACTCTTCAAGTCTTTCTCTCTCGAGCCATTCCATCAAGCCTGAAGTAGTTGAGATTGAGAATCGAATTCAGTTTGTTTTGCGGTTGTAGTAATGAGACGGCGCCTGTTCTCTCCCACGTGGCAATCCCGGTATCCCCAACTCTTGAAGAGTCCCCGAAGATATTCGGCTGTCTTCGTGTCACCTTCTCTACGAGACCGCCTCCACAACTTGTACAGCACTTCCCTGCACGGGGTATGACCAGCATCCATCTGCAAAAAGAGTGATTAGATAGTCAGCATCCATCACATCCTATCCAGACAATTGTTAGTTGTCTTGAAAATTATTGCTAATGATCTCAACCCGGAATGGAATACAGAGTCATCTACATGAGGCTGGAAAGTTGCTGACCATTGTGGTGAGAATAGCAGAAGCTGATTCAACATCTCGATTGATAACATGAACAGTGATCATCAGCTCAAAAGATCGCTGATCGGGAGCAATACCAGATTCCTTCATGTACTCGAACAACTTTACTGCCTCAGCTGTCTGCTCAGAACCAGAAAAGTAAAATTCTTAGTAGGGACAAGTATATGTAAATATTAAATCCAAATTTAAACCGCAGGCTCCTGATAAGTGTCCTTCAGAAATTCTCAACAACACTAACCTTTTTGTTCTTCCCGAAAGCTTCCAAAAGAGCGTTAATGGAATGAGAATCAGGTCTCAGTCCAAAGGTGCTTGAAATAGATTCGAAAGTCTGATATGCACGGTCAGCGTCCCAAATATTTGCACAGCCCAGTATCACGCAGTTTATAGCCGCTATAGGTACAGGCTGTCCACTGGCATGCATTTCCGCCAATTTAAAGTAAGCCTGCAGACAAAACATGCAAGGAAGTAATCAAAACACAAAAAAGAACCCACTTTTTTTTTCTTTTTTTTCTTTTTTTTTTTTTTTACTACTACTAAGATACAAATAGAGAGGATAAGATAACCGCCGCATAAACAAAAGAGGACATGACAAAGTGTAAAAGACGCACTGGGCAATTAAGAATGAAACTCACCCCGTCAAGACCTGCGGGGCCTAACTGAGACAGTGAAAGCACAAGAGGCCTCAAGGACGAAAAAGGACTCAAAATCTCCAATTCCTCTGCATTTTGAGCGGCCCCAAAGAGACTCTGCATCTCGGAAAGTATTAAAAACGCGGCATCAAACTGCTGAGAGGTGGACAAGGCATGCACCAAGGCCATGTAAGCAGCTGGATGAGGTGTACGACCTGACCCAACACACACTTTAAGAAGATCCCATGCCTCTTTAGCGAGTGCAGCATTAGCAGTACGTGCGGCCGTTCCAAGAATAGCCGCAATACTCCCCTCATCCATTACCAGAGGCTGAACAACCTTAGATGCACTTTGGTTGTTCAGGTGTTGTAAAGAGGTAAAAGCACACTCAGCATCATCAACTTCTGTTGCCGCTATGACTAGCTCTACCAACGTCTGAACTTGTGGTACCATTTGGTGCGTCTGAACAAACAGAAGTAAATATCAATCGCCGAAGTTAGAAACCGAAGGACATGGTAATGAATACTCGAGCAACTATCCCTTGAACAAACACCACAAGCAAGAGCGATGTGTCAAGCGTGCCCACCTGCATTTGCTTCATTACCGCAACAGCTATTGCGGAGCGATGGGTTCGAGCACAAGCAAGCAATACTTCATTATACGTGGTCTTGCTGGGCACAAAATTCCTCACATACATAGACTGCATGTGCTTTATCGCAGCTGGTATTCTTCGATTAAGCGCACACAAAGCAATAACGAAGTTATATGCATCCCCATCAGGTTGCGCCTCTGGACCAGCTCGTTCCATTCTGCAAAGAAACGGGGAGAAAAAAACATTTAACCTGTGGCACTATTCATTTGCATCCAAAATATCATATGAAAAAAGCATTTTAGTCAATACCCTGCGACACGACATAATTGTTAAAGGTGATAATTAGCACGATGGAAGCCAAGAAACGCTTCATAACCTGGTGTAAAAGTGCTGAGGCCAATCTTCATGTTACCATGATCCACTAAAGTTAATCTTTCTTTTACAAAACGTCACAATCAAAATTGATGAAGAAACTATAAAAGCGAGTCACAGGCACTGGGATGTTTTTCGAATTCCATGATTTACAAGCGAAGATTAAAGTATGCGAGAATATGAAATGCACCAAGAACATCAAAGCGGAACTCACTTCTCAAGAATAAGTTCAGCTGCTTTCGAATCCCTTTGACGGAATACAGATCGTAGAAGAAAATTGTAAGACAATTGAGTTGGCATTACGCCTCCGCTCTCCATTTCGCTCACAATTCGATGCAGCACATCGGGGTGAGCACCTAGGCGGAGCTTGGCATGTAACAGCAGGTTGTAAACCAAAATATTCGGACTGTTAGGATTCCCTGCTGCATCTGTCAACTTGACCCACTCATCATACAACCGCACGGTTTCGTCCATCTTCTGATGGGAGAGCGCATTGGACATTTCTCGCGCTAAACCGATGGCATCCAAATTCGCAACGGACGATTCAGCCGGTGCCGCAACGGGCTTAAACCCAGATGACATGGAAAATCCAGGTACCTTCGGCGCCGTACTTCCGACAGCTTGGATTACAACAGACGAAAGTTGCGCATCCAACTGCGACGATGCTTGCGCGCAATGCGCACTACTGCTCACGCTCCTCACATCTCTCAGCATAGGAACCCTAAAACCCTTCCTCTCCACCTCGCCTATCCCTTGAGCAGCCCCGTTTCCACATAATGCGAGCGATCCCAAGCTTCGACACAGCACATGCCGCTGCCGCGCATTCAACTGCTTGCACAAAACCTTCAGACTCTCCCTGGAAGCCATATCGACCCACACCTGTCCTCCCCTAAACCTCCACTAAACCCTAATTTGAACAAAAACCTCGTCTCACACCTCTAAATCGCGACTCACTCCAAACCTCCCGAACCAAACCCCACTATCTACACGTCTAGAAGAAACTCCCGCAACCTCACTCAAGCGCACCACATCAGACATAGAGGCAGCCCATGCAACCCAATTCGAATCCTCCGCTCTCAACCACCGAGGCAAAGGGTGAACACGAGCTCAAAATCCGCCACTACCGGGACGTGCTCCCCACGCCGATGCACAGCAACGGCAGCCGAGTAGCTGCACGACGCAAGAGCGCAGCAAGCGATCCGAGCAGAACAAGGGGGATGAAGAGGGTGGGGGCGATGGCGAGCCCAAGTGCCTGAAAACAACAACGACGTGGTTCAATACAATGCAAATGCTAAAGCTGGGCTTCGGCTTGGCTTCCTCACCTTCCTTCCTTCCTGTAGAGCTCTTCTTCCTAAGCTTCCGTGGAGTTAGTGTCCCTTGGTTTTAGGTCACTTGAGGTTTTAGTTCACTCTTGTAGAGCATTTGAGACTTTAGTTCACTCTCATAGAAAATTCCCAACCTGAACAAATGCTTGATAATTGTAATATTACTAGGGTTCGTGCATGCATGTGTCTATTGCAACATGTTTTCATTCCTTATGTTTTGGAAAAATATCGTCAAATTTGTCACTCGAGGAATGGGTTTGTAGTTGTGGGTAATGTTGGATTTCGATTCAAAACTAAAACAAAATGAAATGAAAGTATATAGATGATGCAATTCGCAATGCATTTGAACCAAATCTGAGAAATGAGCCATGTTGTGTGGGTGGGGATTAATGAAATTCGAATGTCCAAAACTTGTCAATGATCTTGCAAAAATAAATAAATAAATAAAATCCAGTTCCGAGTGATTTGTTGATAATGTGTAATCTGTAGTGATATGTCGTAAGTGTAATTATAATTATAATTATTCTTGTTGGAATGTTGAGTATGAAATATAATTTTTTTCCTATACTGTAGTGTGGCACAAACTTGTACCGTGTTTGTTTCTACCATCATTTTCTTTACGCCGTTCAATTTTGCAATTTTAACATCAATACGGTTAGTTCCAAACATTAGTTTTGTTAAAGTCTTTCATCTATTTTATTTTTTTTAAGTTGCAGATTTAAATACAACTCTCAATGCAAGCATTTTGTTGAATCTTTTTCTATGTTGTACAATAATTAACAGAATTGCTTTTGAGAGTTCTTTGAAATAATGTACTAAAAATGATCCAGCAGGTCTGATTACACTTAATTCTGATCACCAAAGTCTTTTTTTTTTTTTTTAACTTGGACGTTGAAAACCACAACTACCTCCATGTTATTATTGATTGTTATTTAAAGTTGTATAAAAGGTTTTTGTTATGCACAAAAGAGACATATATTGCAAGATTTCCATCCATACATGTATAAATATCCACATAAACTACTCATTTTCTAGGTAACCTCCCAATATCTATTACTTTTCTTGTTAAAATATTTTTAAAATGATAGAAAGAAGGATATGTAATTGGATCGTATTCTATTTCCTTCTATCAATGAATTAAAACGAGCTTTACGTCAAAATCATATCATATGTACAAATGACGTTAAAAGGTGTGAAAATTAGAAAATAAGAAAAAAAAGAAACCCAAGACAAAAATGTATGTGCCAAATTATAATCTTCACATGATATCATTAGATGTTTTAGGAAAATAAATGAACTTCTTTATCATTACTAATATTTGTACGATGTTATTTTTACAGTAAAAACAATTGAAATTTCAGTCATTCTTTTGTGCAAGTATTTTTTCCAATACAAATGTTTTGGGATGCATTTAAGTTGTAATTGAACGAATTTCAAAGATATATGAAAAATATTATGTATTTATTGTATGCGATTTAAGCATCGTAGTTTATTTACGTCCATGTTCATAGCAAGCAATTTATGTTCATATTCTATTATGTTTTTACTATGTGCAATTAAATTATTGTAGTAAAGACCAAACCTGGCACCGACAGGAAAATTTATAATATTCTACAATTATTAAAATTTGGGTTTTTTTTTAATATTAATTCACATTCATAACTTTTTAACCAACTTTTAGAGTACGTCATGCCTAGTTTATTGATTTTAAACATCACTGCATACAATCAACTTCTTGTTATTAATTAATTATTTCAATATTTTAAGGCATTTATTCAAAACAACAAAATTTCTGAACATTCCAATTTCAACTTGATGTGATGGTGTATTAATTTTCTTATAAAACATTCCTACAGTTTATGTGATACAGAAGATGAAAGAAATCTTTTAAAAAAAAGTTGTATTTGGTTGGCATGCAATTTAATATACCTAACTATTAGATTGACCATACAAACACAATATTTTGCATTATAATTATTTAATCATTCACTCCTAGTTCCCGGCTATCGATTAAATACTTGTAACGTTATCTTACTTCGTTTACATCTGCAACCTCTTCCTCAAAGTGTAGGCACCTTCTAAAAATCTACAATTATATGATTTACCATCTTCAGAATTTAATTATTAATTAAACTCGCTGATTTTCAAATTTCAATGTTCAAAAAAAAAAAAAAAGGCCCAGTTTTAAAATTCAAAATTTTTATTCGGTACTGAAATATTTTAGTTAAAGATGAATATCATATCAAGTTAACAAATATACAACATCACATCAAACATTAACACACCCATTACCACTTATAGTTTTTGGGCATACCATATTTATTCTTTAAAAGAAAAGAAATGAAAAAAGTATCTAGAATATGCAAGACTTCTCGAGCATGCACATCATCTCCTTACGAATACAAACGGAAACATTTTGGTCGAAAACCATCAAATTATTCCACATTTTCTTTTTGCACACTCATGCACACGGCAACAGGGGGCACTTCGATCCCATGACCGTGACCCCACGGCGTTCGGCTGAATCGCAAATTCAGGGGATTTGCCCTGCCACCGCAGGATTCCGCAAATTGAGGTGTCGTTTAATACCGAGATGTTGTTCGGGGTGGCAAATGGGCTCTGGGATGTCGGAATTAGGGTTTTGCGCTAGAAGAGGGGTGTGCTGCAGTCTAGTCATCCTCTTCCGCAGTCGAAATCTACCTCTGCGCCTTCTGCTCGCTCGCCCGCCCGCTCGCCCTCTCGTTGTTCGCTTGCTACTGCAGGCTTTCTCGCTACTTGGCCACAATGGTTTGCGCTTCGTCTCCCTCTCTCTCTTTACGTCCTTCGATTATTTTGTCTTGCATTTTTGAAGTGGAGTTGTCGAACAATGTGGTTTCGCGCTGAATAATTGGTCTTTCCAACTATCGACTTGCTTTGGTAGAGAGATTGAAGTTCTTGGGACGAAGTAGGGTGTCGGACCGTTTTAGGGTTGTTGAGAGAACTAGGTTTGTTGTGAGGTTTGGCATTCTACTGTGGTGGCTCTAGTTAGTATCTTAAACTGATTTCTTCGGTGGGGGGGGGGTCTCGAATTGAGTGCCCGTTGGAATGTAAATGTTTCGAAATGTAATGTAAATCCAGGCGAGTTATTTATTTATTTTTATTTTGTTTTCATAATTAGTAGAGGAATTCTCTGGTGTTGATTGATTCCGTTTGCAATATATGATGTTTATGTGGATATTGAATGCTGAGATTTGATCGTGCAGGATTCAGCAGTGAAGCTGGCTATTGTAATGAAGGTGATCGGACGCACTGGGTCCCGAGGGCAGGTGACGCAGGTGCGCGTTAAGTTCTTGGATGACCAGAACCGTCTCATCATGCGCAACGTCAAGGGGCCAGTGCGAGAAGGTATGTATAACAGTCTGTCTGATAATATTCCAAACGCACTTGCTTTACAAGTATCTACATAACTAAGTTACTCAGGGCGAGGATTCATCCCTATCGGAATCAGATCTGGGCCCACGCATTATCTACTTGTCGTTCATGTGTATGATTTGAAGAGATGTGGCTGGTTCCTTCTTGTGCTGGAAAAAAAAACCGTTTCTAGGGGCTGTAGAGTCTATTCTGAAGCTTCACTTTGAATCAGTAATTCTATGTATCTATATGGGAAATAACGCACCACAAAATCCTGTAATTAAGCTCCATGTTACTGTGGTTAGTACTGTGACATTTTTCTTTTTTAATTCTATCATACTAGACCGTTTATGTCACACTTAGTCTTTATAGAATATTTGGGGCCAGATACAGTAACTCTTACTACCACTTTTGTTACCGACGGTTTCTTGTTTCGTGTAGTGCTTGTAATTAGAGTTTCTATTTGTCTCTCTTATATGGTATGAACAAGATGCTACTTTCTATATAATGACAATTTCGTCCACGAAGCTGTTTTCTTTCATGGAAAATAATGTCGGTCGTGTTTGTTTGTAGGTGACATCTTGACCCTTCTTGAGTCCGAGCGCGAAGCCCGGAGGCTGCGGTGAGGAGAAACAGTCTCCCGGTGCTCTGAAGCTTGATTTGCTGTGCATGTATGTGAACCTCTATTTGCACAAGTAGTGCAAGATCAATTTTCACGTAATATAGTTCCAGTCTTCCAAATTTTGCTGGAGTTTTTATCCCAGCTGGGTGTTGCACACTTTCATCTTGATTAGCCGAGGAATTATCTGCCACGTTGAAGAGCCTGCTGATGATTACTTCCAATGGTTTCAAATATTTGTCTTGTGTGTATTGTATATTTACTATTATTGTGCTAGCGTGTATTTTCTCGTGTATTAACCGGAAATCAACAAGTCGTCGTTCAGAAGTACTGATGTGGCAGGATCGTTCCTAGCCCATCTGTAGCTTCTATTATAGAAAAGTTGATGTTCCCCCCCCGTGGAGTAGATATACGGACGCACTACTCCGACCACGTCCAACTATGAACGTTCGATTTGAATTCCCAAATTCGCGATCTACAATCAATAGAACTCTGCTGGAGCTTGAGACTATTTGGATTTTATCATCCTTTTAAACAAATAGGGATTTCTTACTAATTTGTAGGAAGATTGTAATCTTTGCTTGGACATCTACATCCGCTACGCTGCGGTATTTGACAAGCGCAACAACTACAGTAACATCAATGTCACTACCGTAACATGTGTTGCCGAACGGTGCTTTTTCGACAGCGAGCCTGTCAACTGTACTTAAATTCCATGTGGGATTAGCATTGATAAATAATGAGACGAAAACCTTATTTCAACCTGAGCTACTTCCAAGCTAATTTAGAAATTATGGTGCTTAATGCTCTTACTGGATGATTCAAATTGCAAGTGTGCTGTAACAATGATCCTCCGTGGGTGGGTTTAAGACACATGACCGCTGAACCCTTCAAACAGAAAATCAAGCTTTGGCACATGGGACTACCATACAATTTGTTCAGTTTCACTGTTACTGTGCACACGTATACTTATATTCTCATACAGATCTTCATTCGTATGTTTGTGTGTCTGTGGTACCTTCTGCTGTTCATGTCCACTTTTCGTATTGTGAGTTTTGAATAACACTTGCCACCGTCTTACTTCCGCTGATGTTATTCGCAGAACGGACACAACTACGAATGACTAACTCAATTTTCTCAGTAAATCTTGAAGTGTCCTTCTACTCATAACAAACCATCCATTCCAAATTCATACATTTTAGACCTTCGAACAGCTTTATTTCCATAGTTGAATCACGCAAATCGAATTTCAAGATTTCAAGATTTTCACACAGAAAAAAAGAATGACACTTCTCCTAAGTAATTCATTGTACAATCTGTTGAATGATTCAGATTCCAGAATATTCATTCCAAAGAAAGAATGGAGGAGTCAGTCATAAAGGGGGGGGGGGACCGTGAGATGGGGAGGGGGATCGGGCGGTGGGGGATTAGGGTTGGGGCGGGGGACAGGGGGCGGTGCTGAAAGCCGAGGGGTAGAGACAGAGCTGATTCTTTCGCGTCTCTGCGAGATCCTGCGAGCAACTCGGACCAGCGTGCGGGGCGCCCAGCAGCGTCGCACCTCCACCTTCCACCATGGCCAAGACGGTGAAAGACGTGCCCTCTCACGAGTTCGTGCGCAACTATGCCGCCCACTTGAAGCGCTCCGGCAAGGTAACCATCCTCCTTATTGCTACTGCATAATTTATTTATTTTTAATTTATTTTTAGGGTTTCCAGAGGGTGGAGACTGGTTTCGAAGGCGAAGTAGGAGCTTTATTTTGTTTGGATTTTTTACGTTGTGGTGTAAGCTTGGGAGGAGTGATTCTAGCTTGATTAGCGATTGGTATACTGGTTTTTTTGCAGTCACGTGGAGATTAGGGTTTCGGGATGGGGTGGTTTTGTTGTGGAGTTCACGAAGTCGGGTTCTTTTAAAACTTTGTTACTGAGATTGGGTCGTAATTCGTTTTTTTTTTTTCTTATTATTCTTCTCAGATTGAGGTTCCTACATGGGCCGATCTTGTGAAGACCGCCACTTTCAAGGAGCTCGCTCCTTATGAATCTGACTGGTATTACATAAGAGCCGGTATTTTTCTTTTTAAATCTTCTCTGCTAACTGTATGTCTTGTACGCATTTTTCTTTTAAAGTTGCTGAGGGTACTGTTGTGAATACTGGAAAGCCTTCACTGCACTTACTTAATGAATCTTGCAGTGTTCATTAACTGATAAGGTTCCCATGTTATATTCACTTGGTCCGAGCTAGGACATCGTTTATGCTTCATTTTTGTGCACCCGTGTACGTAAAGCCAATGCCGGGCGAACTTGGAACTAATCATGCCACACCGTTACATGGGTCTTGAAGCCTCCATGGCAAGGAAGATCTACCTGAGGGGAGGAATTGGCGTGGGTGCCTTTAAGAAGATTTATGGTGGCCGCAAAAGCAATGGAGTTAGGCCTTCTCACTTTGCCAAGAGCAGTGGTTCCATCGCTAGGCACTGCCTAAAGCAGCTAGAGGCCTTGAACATCGTCGAAAAGGATCCCAAGGGGTCAGTGATCGTGCACTTACTACTTAATTTGCATCATTCCGGTTTTCGCGTCTCTTCCATCAATAGTCGTCCAACGAAGTATCTTTGTTTCAGGGTTCTACTAGGCTCAAAGTCTGCAATTCACACAATCTTTAAGAACTGCACTATTTTCCCTGAAGCAGTTTTAGCTCAGGTTTTAGAAATTGAACATACCAAGTGGAATTTAGTGAATCGTTTGCTATTGTACAGGTCGGGATGCTCTCGTGTTTTACCTCATCTTATTTGAGAATTTCTGAAGCTCGCACATCTTTACTTTTTTTTACGCGCATGTTCATTGATACGAATTTAATGATTTACCATTATCTTTTGATCCAACTGTCTAACACACTATTGTCCGATGTGCTCGTTTTTCCTATTGCAGAGGAAGGCGCATCACTTCCGATGGACAGCGCGACTTAGACCAAGTTGCTGGGCGCATTGCTGTTGCTGCGGCTTAATTTTATGGGAAAGAAGTAGGCTTGATCACCATGTGCTGAGTGACACTGTAGGGCTTTGCCTCACAGCAGAACTTCTAGGTTTCCGACTCCATGGAATTCTATTCTCTTGTTCTGTGTTGCACAGCACAATGCAGTACCATTCATCTTTAATCAAAATGCAGTTGCTCATCCAGTATCTATCTGTGTTCAATGTGTCTGCATATAGAATTATGTATTCTTAAGAAGTTCCGTGAGAGGAATTTTGGATGAGCGTTTTTTTTCTCTTTTCTAACTTAGTTTTTAATGAAAAACTAGGATCTGTGGTTTCGGGCTCCAAGTCGAGAACTGTCGCCTCCTCTATGGTGTAATTTAAATCTTATACGTAACAGAACAGAACATGTGCCTTAATTAGGGTCAAGGTGCTTTCTTTTGTTTTTCACTTTGACGTGATCAAGTGAAGGAAGTTGAATGTCGAAACCGCTAGCTAAAGAAAATTATTATTGTGTTAAAACAAATCATTTACCAACAATATCTCATTGTGAGACTTATTAGAGTGGTGTCCAATGAAATGACTATCGAACAGCCTCAGATCCCATTTTCAGGTCCTGAATCTAGAATAGAAACTTGATGAATGTGATGGACCTCGGATGGAAAAGATGGTGGATGTGGTGGTTAGACTCGGCCAAGTGGAGGCGTTAGGGTTTCTTCAAAACACAACTTGGGAATTCTCGTTCCTTTTTACACTTTGCTATAATTTAGCAAATTTTGTGACATAAATTGATTTCCTTATTTTACATGAATGTTAAGATTTGATTTCGTGATGTGCATTTAATAAGATGTTATTAATTATTTTGTTGATAGATATTTGACGTAATGTACATCACAATTTATAATTGATTCTGTTATTAGTATGATTCCCGTATTTTTTTATTTGCTGCATCAACTTTTTTTATTTGTTGTAATTCTTTGAAATAAGTGGAATATGTGTTTATATATTTGTTATAATAGTAATATGTGTTTCATAAGAAACATGCTAATGTGATGATAAGTTAATTCTAATATACTAAAAAAAAACTATAATTTTATAATCAAGAGAAGTTATTCATCACAACTATTATTAAGAGCAACTTCATAATTTGATTACATTTGAGATTATGTTTTACAAGTTATAAATGAGATGATTATGAGAGTAGATTTTATGTTTTTTTTAATTTTTTTTAGTTTTGAAAGAAAACATGTTTCGAATGCTTTAGCGTAGGATCTCACTATCAAGAGTATTTTCCAAAATTGTGCAAAGCTCAAAGAGTTCAATTAATGACTTCTATATTTAAAGTCTAAAACTCACAACATTAAGAGAATTATAAACCTCAATTTTTATTTTTATTTGAGGATCCATGGCATCAGGACTTATTGCAATGGCAACTAAATTCCTCAACATAGGAACAAAAGAAGGAATGGACAAGTTGGATGAGCTCCTAGGTCAACAAAGCTTCATTAGTGGAGCCGAGCCAAGCAAAGATGATCTTGCTTTGTATGGTGCTCTAAAAGGAACTTTGGATACAAATTATGCCAATCTTACACGTTGGTATAACCATGTGAATGATATTCTTGGTTCAAGGTTTTTGGGTCCAAGTGAAGGAGTTGTGGTTGGCACCATTTTAACTCCATTATCAAATCAACACAAAGAAGACACAACTATTGTTGTTGATTCTATTGTTAATAGAGGCGATGTTGTTGAGGTTCCTTGTAATGTCTCAAAGGGTATTGAGGCACAAGACAATGTGTTGAAGAAATTTGTACAACTTGAGCTAAAACCTTGGGACAATGTTAGTGATTTGATAAAGATTGAACAACATGTTCGAGGAATAGAAATGAATGGGTTGTTTTGGGGCAAATCAAAATTTGTGAATAAAGGATCTGTTTCTCAAAAACTTCATATCATGATGACAATTGAAGATGATAAAATATCTCCCCACGACTTAATTGATAAAATTCTTGGTGATGGTTCAATTGAAAATCTTATTCAAAGTTGTGATATTCTCACTTTCTCGAAAAATCAGAATTAAAACTTTGACATAAATAGTATGACATTTTTCAAAATTATGCGTGTAATATTTTTATTCATAAAAATATAATTGCATGTCTAATTTATCTCTTGTTTTATAATAATAAAAGTAAGTAGTTTTTTGTCAGTAATAATGTTTCTATTTTTAAAAAATGAAACTAAATGTCGATAATGTACTTTTAAATCCTACAATGGTAATAATTATCTTTTAATATGTTTAATTTATACAAAAATTATTCATCCAGAAACTGTTTATACACATAAGTATCATTCGTAATTAAATTACTGTTCAAATCTGTTGAGTTTTCTGTATGTGCTTTAAGCCAATTTGTGCACGGATGTATTTTAACTATTCTCAATTGTGTTAAGTGGTTTTTTTTCTCCAATTTATTAAACTTAGAAAATCAACCATTTTTCTTTTCTATTAAAAGAACAATGGAATGTTATAAATCATTGAAGGTATTGTTCAACAAGTAAAATCTAATTATTTATACATAATTTTTAAAATTTTACACACAATAAGAGAAATATCTTTTGATTCAAATATACATAAAATACATGTACATTGGAATGTATACAGGAAATGATCTGTAACGTACACAAGATATGATGCTTTAAAATGTGACGTCTGCACAATTTTGATGTGGAGTGATCAGCTATAATTAACTACTTAATGTTTTTATGTTTTATTTTGTTTTGTATTTTGTTTTTTTTTTTGTTCCTTTATGCATTTTTCTTTTTTCTCGTTTAGCTACACAATGGGCTCCCATTCACACATAACTATTTCTCTCATGGTCAGGTGGTTAGCAGGTCAAATGGGTTGCTTATATTATTCTAAAGATGGTAATGAATTGAAGCTAACTTTATTGGTTACAACTACTCACAACATTGACACAATCTCAAGGGCAATACTAACCATAAAGTTGACAAATAAGAAAAAAAAACTACATCAAAATAATTTAAAAAAATCAAAATCAAAATCAAAGTAAAAGAATGTTAAAAGAGAGAATAAATAAGCTATCAAAAGCAGGGTGATATGGATGCAATTACTGTGCTCGTGTCTATTGGTAGTACTGCAGTAAGATTTTGATTTCCTGTTCAAATTAATGGCAATGGATGTGGTGGGGTTTTTATTAGCTTTCAAAGAGATCGTGTACTTAAAACCTTCCACAAAATGGGCTTAAATGCTTCAAACTAATACCTTTTTCAATGTAAACTTAGATCAGGAGTCAGTGTAATTTTAAGTGTGTGTATGACTGTATGTATATATATATATATATCTTAATTAACCATGCAATATATTACGGGGTATGGATACTCATAGCTTAAGGTTTTGTTAAAACAGTCTCATTAATGTGGCTTTGTCCTACATATGTATATTATGATAATTTAGCTTTCATTTTATGTCAAAAATACTCATTATTTTCAATTGAGAACCAAGTACTACTCTTACAAAATGATGAAGCTATGGTGACCTAAAGGTTTTTTTTAGTAATAAATGGGTTTTCATAAACTTGAATGAGGGCGTGATGAGTACTCTTCGTGCAGAGGGATAAAAGCAAATTTTCAATGATTAATGCATACATATTCATAGATACATAACAGCAATCGTGAAGTAGCAGTTTTGTAGATCTCACTTTATAAATAATCATGGTGATTTGAAAGGGTGCCTATCTTGAAACCATGCTCTTCAAAAACCACCACCCGTTTTGTTTTTTAATTGAAAGGGTTGACTTTACAAGATATAAATGAGTGTCTGTACATATATATATATATCTATATATATATATAAAAGATAGACGCTTGCAAATGTATAGACTAACTTAGTCATGTTATTTGTTGTAGCTTCATAAAGATGGTGTGGCACAACCAGGGGACCACCTCTAATTGATTGAAGTAGAATTGAAGTAAAATTGTACATCTTGTGATTATCGTCATGATCCAATTCAAGCATGCACACAGGAGTCGAAATTGTTGTGTTTTGATGAATTTGACATAAATGATGCTTGTGCCGAAAAGCAAGGGACGTACATACATTTATGAATTAGAAAACACATGTTTTAATTACTAAAACTTTTTGGTTTAAGTTTTGGAAACCATCACAAATCTATTCTTAACAGCAGACTTTTAGTTATTAATATTTTTGGTGGTGAATTTCAAAGTGTGCAACTTTCCCAAAGATTCCCTCACATCATGTGTGATGATGTTTGAAAGAAGAGACTTTATCCTTTATTAATTTTTCTTTTGAAAATCCAAAGTTAATGGTTTTTCTTCTTGGTCAAATAAACATGCAGGTGTCCCTTAACTCCTTACCTTCAGATTACATTTAGAAGCAAGAGATAAATATTTCGTAATCCAAGGTTTCAGAAAGAAATTAATTGAAGTGAACTAAGCCTAACTTGAAACAAGCACCAATTTTATATGAAAAGAATGAACACACGTGGAGGAGGGAGATGACGGAGAAAAGAGACAAGAAAAATGTGAGAGGGACAAACAATGAGAAACAGAAACAAACAACAATTCAGATTTCTTTCTTAAACAGTGCCGAGTGCTGAGCTGGACTGAACTTTTGCTACATTTATTCCGATGTAGAGCTGTCCCTTCAGGATTGAAGCATGATCGCAATCTTTGATCCAACGCAGCATGTGAAAAGTATTCCTCATTTACTTTCACACTCACTTGTCTCGAAACCATGCATTAAAACACATCCACACACACACACGCACACCTGCAGGATTAACAGCATTTATGCATGAGGAGTTCAGCTTTTCGATAGGATGATTTACACTCCAGCGACACATTCATGTTGGTGTGAATGCTTGCGCATGACGGGAGCGGAGATCGCAAGCATCGGGGCTCGGATAGCCTCTCACGGTGAGTCCACATCCTCACCGACTTAATGGCGTTGCAATCGATTCCTTCAGCAATCACCAGCCCATTGCATAAAGCAGGTAATTGCACATTCTTTACACCGTCGATGCGCTTCTGGATGGTTGGCAACTCCGCTCCCTGCACCGGTAACTTTTAGTCTTAATCATGCATAATCTGAGTGTCAGCGCCACTCTTTTATGACTGAAATGGGGTGGACCCATTGCTCAAATTCACTGTAGTGTACATTGTAGGATATTTTGTTTGGTTTCATATTATAATTTTTGCTAGTGAAAAGTATATTCTACTTATATATATCCATAAGAGGAAGAAGAACCCAAGTAAAAAAATCCAAGTTATTAGTGATTCTTCCCAATAATTAGATCGAGGATGACGAAAATAGGCAACTTGCTTCTGGAAAGAAGTGTAATAACAATAATAAAATAAATAATCCTACATCATAGATGAGGTACTTGGCTTCAAAGGGGGGAAAAGAAACATGATGTAAGAAAACTCCCAGCCCGTCATAAAGATGTTTTCAAGGAGAATGTTTCGCACAGTGTAAACTAGACAATTCCGGTAGACTCCCGTGTTGTAGAAACCAAATCATGTGTCATGTGCGAGGGAAAGGAGTTTCACTGATGTGCAGCAATTGAAACTGACTGATCGTAGAACGGAGCTGTAAAGTTCCTAGTTGCAGAATGACATCTGTCTCACGACAAATCTGTAGATGGTGTAAATTAGAATGTGTAGGGTAGTTGTGTTGAATGGAAACAGTTTTAAACCTGATAACGACGAACCTGGTAGTGATGGTCCAGTCCACAGTTGATTGCCAGACACACAAGGGTATGAGATGGTGGAGGTGTTAGGGCAGAGACTGACGGAGGTACTTACGACCAGCTAGCCAATGTTGGTTGCCGCATGGCGTCAATGTTGCAAATGAATTGAACCAGAATTGTCTACTCTGATAGAATGTGTGATCTGCGCATGATTGGCTTTAGTGAGTGATAAAGCCTTTTCACACAGTCGATGCTAATTTTCAAGCTGAAGTTATCACCAGAGAGATGATTATTTAAATTGCACCGATGCAACCCATGATCCGTGACATATGCTGCAGTTAATTATGTGCAGGGTGCATGTAACCTCCGATAAAAATTGTATAGTGTACAAAAAGCCGAGGATGAATTCGAACCAATATGAGGTTCTAGACAAAACTTCTCCTCGCTCCGCGGCGGTCCGAAACTGGCTCAAGGCTTAAACTAGGAAGTGGAAACAAGGCGGTTCCTTTGGACCAAACTTGTTACTGCTCGACTGGGAATCTAATCTATCAGCAAAACCCACATTTCTGTAAAATAGCTACCTCCCGTCTGATGAGAACTGATGGTCGAATTCATGCCTTGGTCTCTTGGACGGAAGAGGACCGCTGAAATATACTGGGACCTGGCTATTGCATCTGGGACACTTGGGATCCCATCTATTTAGCATCACGTACATGAAACAACGCGTGCATACTCCCGTCACAAGTGCTGGGCCGGAGTCAACAGCATTCAACTCTGCTTTTGTACTTTCCGCTTCACAAATTCTGAGCGACGATCTCGAGGAGGTGGACGATGAGCTGCTGATAGACGGGGATGCACCAAAGGCTTCTGGGCAGGCGGAGGTGAGCGACGAATAGGAGGGAGAGAGGGAATGTTTGAAGGCAACTCTTGGGTGCGGCTTCTCCTCAACCCTCTTCAATGCGCTTTGGATCATCTCCACGGTGCACACAGCTTGATCGTGACGGTTAATGAAAGACCCCGATGTTCCACCAGTCGAAAGGTTCAGATCCAGCTTCAAGTCCAATTCTTCGGAGCATTGAGCTTTGGCAGTGAAGTGAGATGAAGAATCACGCCAATCATCAGAGTCGAAGGTCAGTGGCTGCTTGCAGCCTTGTGAAGAAAAGAAGTTGTGTGCATAGACATGACGAGAATTGTAATCCTGGGGACTCCTAGAAGACGTAGTGATCGATGCTCTCAAAGCTATCTCATGCTCGATTGTCTCCGACTTCTTACTCCCTAAAAACTCATGAGCAACAGACAAGTGTTCAGTCGTTGCATTGTTGGTGCGGATACCACGGGGATCGTCACTACTGGTCACACCCGTGCATCTGTTTACGAAGTAAAGATCCCCAGTCTGCACAAAAAGTCACAATTCACTGTAAGGACCCACAATTAACGACAGACGATAGAAATGGACAAGCGTTAAAATTCAGCGCAGATCACGCTAAGTAACCCTATACAAACTTTATAATGCGGGAGGTGCTGCCGTTTTATACCTTGAGGTCGAGGCACTTCTCCCAGTGAGAAGGAAGTGGTTCGCCTTCCAGGTCAAGCCGCAGCTGACGCTCCGGTGATGATCCAAGTATTAATTCAGCAAATCCTGAGGGGGCCGACTCAGATACATTATCGTCGCCTAGCAAGTCTGGGATCAATCTCGCGGGCCGGGAAGACTGGTTTATCTGTGCCATCATCAGTTGCATCAGCTGATGCGCATCCGCGCCCCAAGCACGTTTATTATTTCTTCTCACGTCCACCTGAACTGAATTCCTCCATGCAACTACTTCCGCCGCCGCTAACATCTCCCTACCCTGTGCTTCAACTCCAGACAATTCAATTCTCTCACACGATTAGTCCTGAGCTACTAGACCAAACCCACGCGGCACCCAGAATCACTAAAATGATTACGAGCTTACGAACCCTCAACTAGATGCAGCTGCGAGTGTGCCAGAATTCGACAGTTCGTATCTCTCCCACAACTGTTCACCAATAGGAACGAGTGGTACTTGGGGCAAGAGCGTTGGCATGTCTTGTCCCAATCCAGGCGGAACAACTCTCCTCAGCGATCTATCTTCGCATGCACCAGTAGAGGAAAGCCAACGGTCTCGGTGCCTCATGACAGAGGCCTTTTGGCACTTGAAAGTGTAAATTGGGAGTGGCAATTTTGGCAATTTTTTTCCAGCTTGGAGCAGCATTGATGAGACTTTTTCCCAGGATCGTAGGCCTGCCTACCTATTTCCTGCGGCCACGGATGAACGCCTGGCTGTGGGTGTGTATTAATGTTTGTCATGCTTGGCGATCCATGCCATTTTCAATGCAAAGGCTCAGGCTTTCTGATCTGCTGCTCCCTCAGTGGTTGAGTAGGGTGGCGTAGGGGGCTAAGAAGGCTAACTATCGTTTAATGACGGTGACTCTTGCTGCTCTTGAAGCTGTAACTCTGATACCGGGGCCCATTCACTTCTTCCACTTCTTCTTTTTCCCCGTTTTCGCCGAACTCCCTTTCTCCTTTACTCCAACTGTATATGTCTTCATCCCATTTCACGGACTCACCATTGACCGTTTAACAGAGTAGGTACAAATGAGACTTGGAGCCTATACTAAACATTGGCGTATACAGGGAATGCGTGACCCAACAGGGTTGGGGGTTCCTCTAATGGAATATTCTGAAATTTACCATTCACGGCCAGAAAATTATTCACCCCACTCAATCGCTAGGTGACATAAAACTGGGAACGATACCAGTATTCATCCACTGTTCCGCATGCGTATCACTAAAGTGATGAGTATTTGCGTACATTTTCACATGATCCAGGAGAACAATAAACCCCTTCTCCACAAAGCCACCGAATCTCATGTTGCAACTGGGCAGTGGTTTATTTTAAACCCATATTCTGCTTAACATGCTTCTGGCATCGAAGATTCGATATCAGTGAATTTCGCGAAATCTGTTAAAAAGAATTCTCCAAAGATCCTGTGATCGTGCATCACTCTTGATATTTACACATGTGTATGAATATATATATATATATATATATATATATACATATACATACATACTTGCGAGATTATATCTAACCCAGCTTCAGTGCAAAATCAAACCCAACAAGGTAGAAATGACAAAGCCACTCGGATTTTTTTGCTACTCCTTGTTGGTCACGGAAAAAAGCTAGGAAGTTTCCGGCAACGACCATAGCGCATCTAGACGTGGGCTAGGTCCCAGCTGAGACAGTACCGGCTCCCCTCAGTGACTCACCACGCCACATCTGCCACTGCGAAGAACACAAGTCCCTCGCGTTATCGCCGCACCCCCTCGCTCCGTCTCCCCATCTGATCTCACACTCCTCATCGTGCCCGAACACTGGTGTCAGCCATGCCACCTTTCTCAGAACTGCAACAAAGAACTGGTGGTTTTTTAGTTCAAAAAGTCGAGCCTGAACTTGAACAGCACTTGGGTGCTCTACTGATTGTACCCACATGGAATTCTGGCAACAAGTCTGATTGATTTCCTGTGTGCGTTTCATTCCTAGCATCTCAAGCTCTCAACTCAAAACATGGCTTTGAAGTAGAATATTGCAGATTGGTTCCTATTGGATCTGGTATCATTGAGTATTGAGGCTGTTAAATCTACAAACAAGTGTAAATTCCTGTCAAAGTGTCATGGTACTCGTATTTTGACTCATATTCAAAATTGTGGAAAAGTGGAACGCTTGATGGATTCCGAAATGGTGTGGACGTTGATGGAAAGTTGACCTTCAAGCAGAAACTCCACGATTTCGGTGAGTAAGTTGTTGGTTGGTTCGTCACTACAAACTTCTTCCAGTCATGTAAAGTGTGTAACTCGTTCATCTTCATGTGTGGGGAGAAAGAAAAGTTAACAAGGAGCCTGTAACCCTTACAGATTGAGCATATTGCAATACTCGCATAATCAACCACAGTTGACGGTGTTCATAATACATACTTACATACCTATACATATTTACACACAAATTCAAAAATGCATGTGAACAGGCTAAACCTACTTTCTGAACAGTTATTCAAATTTTTTTTTTTTTGACAGAACCATAGATTACATAATTTTATTTTCTGGTCATCACACATACATGTTAGAGATTCATTTTGATGAACGAAACTAAAAGTTAAACCAAACTCATGAGGTCAAAGACTAGATGTTTACAACTTTCATTTCGTTATTGTTTCGTGTCAAACATGTTAATTACACTTTTGTGTTTTACCATTGTTAAGAATAGTTAGATATTGCTTGCATGTAATTAAATCCATTCCAAATCATATTATCCTAATTCACATCCTCAGGTGTCTATTTCTCGTTTTATGGACCATTCTAAATTTCTCCATGGAAAATATTATTGGAAGAAAAAGGACGTGTCTAATAATTGCTTACTTTCTTTTCTAAATGCAAAAAAGGCGAAGGAGCGACTATCTTTGCAATTCAACTAATCAATCTATTAAAATTCCATATCAATAATTCAATTGATATGGAATACGTAAAATACGTAAAATTTATTTAGAAGCAAATACGTAAAATTTAAGATGTGCTCCTGGCTATATTTGCGAACATTTCACTTAAGGTGAACAATGAAAAACCAGTTTTGAATTCGAAAGATTGTACCCAGATTTAGGTTTTTGTAAAAAATACAACGAATGCTCTGGGACGGTGGTGGTAAGCATTCATCCCAACACACACATTTGGAAATATTTTATCATGGGGACATGGGGCCCCTCTGACAACATCTCATTTTATAGGAATAGGGTGGTGATGTAGATCCATTTTTAAGCCCCTGATAGAAGCTATCTTCATCCACGTAGACCCGAATTTTTTGTGCTTATTTTGTTGGTGTTAGCAGGGACGAAATTAGGGTTTTTGGGTTCAAAATAATAGGGAAAAGCATGAGATCAAATAAGTAACTGAGATTGTGACCGGGCTGGTCTAAAATTCCACTCTGGTCTGACGGTAACCAAACTGAATGCCGATGAGGGGCACTCTCAGGCTTACCCCTAAAATTGAGCTCCTGGCCTTGTTCCCACAATATATGGAGTTGAGCGCAAAGCAATGCTGCAGCCTTTTTGTTTTTTGTTTTTTTTGTTTTTTTGTTTCTTTCTTTCTTGGTGAGTGTATTGCTGCCCATCTTCTGGATGACATGTCAGACGAGTAGGAAGGTGCAAGAATTTGGGTTTTGTGGATTTTGATAAAATTAGGGTTTACTGGATGCTATGAGTTTGTTTCGTGCAAGCAGTTGTTGTAAGGTACTGTGAAGTACCTCTGGAATATTTAATGTGCTTGAAGGAAGGCAGGCGAATCTTTTCAACAATCTAATAGAACTGAGTTGGGTGGCTGGCAAGGATAATTATACAGCATGAACAAATAGATAGATTTGTTTGGCAAAGAGTTCTTTCCCAACAAGTTAGTAACAGTTGTACAAGTATCTCTTTTAAAAGGTAGCTAACATGTCTTTCACAAAAAAAACATGGAAGACAGAAAATTACTCTTATATATAGAGAATAATAATGATTATGAAAATGAATTTTAGTGGTCAAATGTTGTCTTTCAAAAGCCATTTCATATCTTATCTTGCAGCCCATTTATGCTCCAATATCTCCACATCTTTGGATTCAAAGTTTAAAATGACCTTTACCTGCAAAGAAAGGTGGAAGGCAAATGCTAAATAAGTCCCTACTTAGGACACATGGAACCTTCTTTTGAGGAGTTGGAAACATGCCTACTACAAAAGTACATGTAGCTTCTTTAAAAAGAGGCTTAGATGCTCTCATTTTTCGGAATTGGTATACATTTTCCTTGCTTGAAAATTAGAGCTTTAGAGGAATTGTCACCACAACTCATCTTTCTTGCTTTTTGACTTCAAAATTATTAGACTCATTTCATGCCAAAAATTGGAATGTGGCAGAAACTTACAATCTTATTCAAATTTTGGCATCATTCATGTGAAATGTATTTATTTGGTATTATTCACATTTGTAGGTTATCTTGCTCCAAAAATATTCCTACAATCCAATCCAAACAATTTTTTGGCTAATGATTGTTTCAAAAGTTACAGATTTGATGGTGCCAGTGTTTAGCAAAGCAATCTTCAAAATTAATAATATAATTTGTACTCACCAATATATAATGTACATTTCATTCATTGCCACATTGTCTAATATATGAAATTATTTGAAGTTTGTTTATTTTATTTTTTTGTGAAAAAGATGGTCTTCATTAATATTGGAAAAAACATTGAACCAAGGTCTTTTTGGATTTCTTAGTAGGAGATGTAGGAGGTGACATTCTCCACTAAGAAAAGCGCACCCTCCATGTGCAAAAGATATTGTTCTTGCACCATATTTTGACAAAGTTGTTTGAAATTGCTTTCTTTCTATTGTTGCTATACTTATGGAAGTATGTAAGGATGTTGTTCCTACTAGCTATACTTGTGGATGGATGGCCCAAGCAATGGAACAACATCCATGACCATGCTTGTGGATGAATGGCCATGCTTGGGCCATGACCATGTTCCATTTTTTTAGCTAAGAGGCCTTTAGAGTTGAGTTGCTAAAGAAAAAATTAAAATTTGGCTGGTTCTTGGATCTTCCATATAGAATTAATTAACAACTTGGTTTCATTAGTGATGAACCTAAGTTATTTCTTTTTGACTTAGAAATGTATGCTGATAAATACCTCCAATTGAAGGGTATTTTATCCTAGCTTGGTTGAATAAATAAAAAATTCTGCTCTAGAGAGAAAACATATGCATTTCTATTGCCATTCTTTGAGATCAAATAGTAAAGATCAAATGAGATCCATGATCCAAACAATACCATGGTATTAGAATTTTGGGTTAATTATTGTATTATAAAGATTGTCCAAATAGTGACAATGTAGATTTACAAGAGATTGAAGTGAAATATATTCATAAATGATATGGAATTATAATAAAAGTAGTCATTTTTTTTTTGGAAGAATTGGGCTCAATACTAAACGCCATGTAGTTAGAAAAGAAAATTGATGGTTTCATTTCCTATGATGATAGCTACCTATTCAAATATTTCAAAGGCTAGGTATTGTATCAGATATTAAATTTTTAAGAATTGAGTT